ACCTAAGAATAGGGTTTGATACTGAGGGAGTTTATGAAAGCTAAGATTTGTGAAGATTTTCTTCTTTGGCATCTGTAAAACGTTAAACATATGTAAACATAAGTTTTTCAGTTTGGCATAATGGGAAGAAATTTATCCTGCATGACTGAAAAAATACGATTTGGCTGAATTTCTCCAATCCAGCCCATGTTTAAGGAGGGGCTATGGGGCAGCCTAGTGGTTAACGCGTTCGCTGAGGACCCGGTTCGATTCCCTACATGGGTACAATATGTAAAGCATATTCCTGGTGTCTCCCGTTGTGATATTGTTGGATTATTGCTAAGGCGACGTAAAGCTCAACTCACTTACTCCCAAGTTTTAGGTACAAGTAGCCATGTGAGCACATTTTGGTGAAGATGAAACCATGGTCCATAGCTGCGATAAAATCGTTGAAATACCATATTTCCTCCACTAAACGCCGGATCAAATAAGCGAGGGGGATACATCAGCTGGCGGTTTAAGAAATACTGTATTTCCTCTAATACGTTTTTTAAATAAATGTATTCTCCCTTGATCCAAAAATGGATTTCTTAAGGAATGGTCCCTAGCTTTGACGTAACGTTCACTAACAAGTAAGTACTGTACACCCAGTAAACGGAATAAGCGCCGGGTCTCCAATATGTGCCGGGCACTCTAATATGTGCCGGGTCTGGATGTCCGTTTAGAAAATAAGCGCCCAGCGGAAATACGGTAAGTGTTGGGTCTCTAATACACGCCGGGTCTCCAATAAGCGCGGGGTACGTTTTTCAAAATGTACTTTCCCTTGATCCAAAATTAGAATTAATAAGGATCGGTCCCTTTGGTCATTATAAGTTGTTCACTGGTTACGAGGAGGACATGGGCTGATGTACCCTCGATGTTTGTGTATGTTTGTTTGAACATAAAGAAACATCGAGGGTATATCAACCCATGGGCCCCGAGGGACCAGTGAACAAAGTATTTATTTTACCGAACACCTCAGTGGTAATTTTGAACTGTTTGAAGCACGGGTATCGGATCATAGTTATAAGTATGGAGTACCAGACGACAAGACGACAAGAAATTTAGAGTTATCTCCCTTCCATCGATTTGAATGCGCAAAACATCGGTAATCTCCGTACATCATATGTGTGATTCAATGTTATTTTAACCTAGTGGTTAAAGCGTTGGCTCGTCACGCCGAAGACCCGGGTTCGAATTCCCACATGGGTACAATGTGTGAAGCCCATTTCTGGTGTTCCCCGCCGTGATATTGCTGGAATATTGCTAAAAGCGGCGTAAAACCAAATTCAGTCAGTCAGTCAGTTTAATGCCGAGCGCGTATTAGAGGAAATACGGCACCTCTAAACCTTCTGTCCAAATATTGAAGACCCACATCGTTGGAACATGGTGACACGTTTAAGGTTCTATTGTTTAAGGGGAGCGGTGGGGGGCTAGCCTAGTGGTTAAAGCGTTCGCTCGTCACGTTCGATTCTCCACATGGGTACATTTCGGGTGATATTGCTGGAATATTGCTCAAAGAGGCGTAAAACTAAACTCACTCACTCATTCAACAGTTGTAAATAATATTATGTGACAATTTGTATGACAGATTTGCTTTTAAAAATGACAGTATTTGTTTACCTCTTAGGTAAATGTACAAACCTGGTCTCACCGCTGTATGACTGAAATAACGCAGAGACGACGTTACCTTGGGTCTCACTCACTCACTGTGGGAAACTTCACACGTGCACCCTTTTGAGACCAAAATAACGACCTATGACATATGCGCTTGCTCTGGAAAACCCCACAAGTGCATGCTTACTATAACATATTTTTATCGTACATTACATCCATTTATACAGGGAATATATATATAAAATGAGACATGTCTTATGCATCGATCACCTATGGTACTTGTACGCTATTTATTTTATTTTAACTTTGTTCCTAACCTCCCCCCACCCTGTTTTTTTTTATTCAGGTCCCACAAACACACGCCCACAATTTGATTACGATTTGTCAAATTGTTGTTTATTAATTTGTTGTTTAATGCCGTACTCAGTAATATTACAGCTCTATGGTGGTCTCCTGTAAATACTAAATAATTGAATCTGGATCATACAATCCAGTGATCAACATCATGGCCTAGATTTTCGAAGCTCTCTTAGCGCTTATAGCGTTCATATATCGGCTCTCACTGACTGATGCGATGCACTAACATTACACTCCCTTTCTTTTGAGAACGTTTACGAAGGGAAAAGTTATTGGCCATATTTATAAGTCTCTTTGGAAGACACTCGAGTCTTGAAATTAATCTTCCACAAAGATAAAGGTTATTAGCCGTAATTAACAGTCTTGTGATTAAACTTTCATGCAACACAAATTCCACACGAAATATTAAACCTTTTCACAACTTGAAAGTCACAACATATAATCTACACTTGTTCCGAGGCACCTAAAATCATATATCACTGTTAAGCTGAACTTAAAAGAACACGCAAATTTAAAAAGTTGAGGTTGAGCTGTTTAGGTGGCACTACATGTCTGCTGGATGTGGGCAGTGGTGAACCAGGTGACGTTGTCGTCGATGGCGATGCCTTCACCGGAACATAGGAGATCGTTGTGACGTCGGCAGATCTGCATCTGCGGGTGCTAGCATGGATGCCAACTGCTGTCGTTTTCTTCGAAAGCGACCTGCTGGGGAGTCGATGGATGGCGTACGACTTGGGTTTGACTATCACACCATGGCCTAGAATCTTCGAATAGACTCACTGTCCTGGGTCGAGCTGACCTAGATCTCTTGCCTGGTGTCGCTTATCAAAGTTACGCTTCCGGTCTGCTTTGATTTGCTGTCTCTTTCAACTTCAGCTGACATCCGGTTGTTTCGGGTTGAGTAGCTCCGGGAGGGCATGCAGGAATTGTCGTCCCATAAGGAGTTCTGCCGGACTGTAACCATTCTGTCGGGGCGTCGTATGGTAGGATAATAGGGCTAGGTATGGGGCCTTTTCCTTCTTCAGTAGGAACTTGAAGGTCTTCATCTCTCATTCTGCCTCACGGCTGCTTTGAGCAAAAGTAGGACTAAACGTTACATGAGTGAATCCACATCCCCTTGAGAATTCTTCGGAGTAATTGTTCGAGAACTGTGGTCCATTATCAGACATGATTATCTCTGGAATACCATGTCTGGCGAAGATAGACTTCAGGTGCTTCACTACGCCTAAGCTTGTAGTTTGAGATAGTTTGATACCTTGACAGACTGTTTTGCCCGTCCACGGCTTTGACTATGCTTTGGTGTCCCTTGTGTAACTGGTCTAACATCTCGAGATGCATCGACATGCTGATGACTATTATGTTGCCCATAGGCGGATCCAGGAATTGGAAGGGTGGGTGGGGTTCAGGGGTTCGAACCCCCTGAACCCCACCTTAGCTCCGCCATTGCATAACATTAACTTCAATGTGGTCTTTAGTCATTTTCAAACAAAAAGGTGTGTGTATTTCGAACCCTCTTTTGGTGAATTCCTGGTGTTTTTTCAATAATATCTCTACATTGTCCCAAATTATGTTGGATTGGGACAGTTGATGATGTGGTCTGATATTGCTGATATTCTGTCAGATTTAGTGGTAGATGATAAGTATTCTTTGATTCTGATATTTATAGGCCGGGAGGTTTCGCCTACATAGGCCTCACTTCAGTCACAGTTGATTTTATACACAACACCTTTGGGTTGATCTTGTCGTTTAGAGGTGTTCCTGCCATTAGCTTTCAGTAGGGTTTTCAGTGGTGTAGAGCTGGTAAAGTAGGTTTCGATGCCTGCTTGTCGCTTCAGGAGACGGCTGATGTGGTGGGAGGTCTTCCCTATGAAGGGGAGGGAGATACGAATAGGTGCTGGTTCAGGTTTGTTGGAGGCCGGTTTTCTTGTTGGGTGGAGTGTGGAGCTGATAATTTCATAGACTAGTTTTGACGGTTAGTGGTTGAACTTGTTGAAAACATGGCGGAGGTGCTGTATTTCTGTAGTGGGACTGGTGGAGGAGAGGTTGATGGCTGGTCTGGTGAGGGTGCAGATAATGCCAGTTTTGGTTCTCAAGGGGTGGTTGGAGTCAAAATGAATGTTTTGGTCGGAATGGGTTGGCTTTTTTATAGACACTGGTTTGGATCTTGTTAGCTGGGGTTCTGGTTACGAGGACATCTAGAAAAGGAAGCTGACCATTCTGTTTCTACGGTGAACTGGACCCGGGGGTGCTGTTGGTTGAGGTGTTCCAGGAGGGCTGCTGGGCCTTGGTCTTGACGAAGAATAACAAACGTGTCATCGACCTTCCTGTACCAGCAGGTTGGTTTGATGGTTGAGGTGCTAAGTGCTTGCTGTTCGAAGGAGGTCATGTAGATTTCTGTGAGTATTGGGGACGGAGGGGAGCCCATGGGCAGGCCGTGGATTTGTTCATAGTTGTCGTCTCCCCAGGTGAAGTAAGTGGAGGTGATGCAGGCAGAGGTCAGGGCAATGATGGAGTCAGTGGTGAGGTTGGTGTCAAGGGGGGTTCTAATTCAGAGATGCGTCGGCGGAGGATTTGGAGAGTTTCATCTGTCCGTTACAAAAATAAGCACCCGGGCGCTTATTAGCGGAAATACGGTAAGCGCTGGGTCTCTAATACGCTCGTTGAAATACCTCTAAACCTTCTGGTGAATTTATATTGAAGACACACATCGCTGGAACATGGTGACGCGTTTAAGTGATCCATGTTTTATTAATTGTTTAAAGGGGCGGCCGGGTAGCCTAGTGGTCAAAGCGTTCGCTCGTCACGCCTAAGACCTGGGTTCGCTTCTTCACATGGGCACAATGTGTGAAGCCCATTTCTGGTGTCCCTCGCTGTGATATTGCTGGAACATTGCTAAAAGCGGCGTAAAATTAAACTCACTCACACTATTAATTGTTTAACGCCTAACGGCTTTATGGCGGCGTTTTGTAAATAATCGGCCTGGATCACACAACCCAGTGATTGCAACATGAGCATTAATCTACGCAGTTGGAATACGTTGATATGAGTCAACAGAGTTGTAAAATTGTCATAAATAAGAGTATTAGACTTTCCTCGTAAAATTACCCATTCAAAACGCTACTCTCACAAATAACAGTTTTCAGAGCATTTTCAATGTATGTGTTTGCGAACTCTTCCAATAAATATTATCACATGTTTTTCTTCAATTCGCCATGTTTACAGACCACATTGAGCAGGAAGTTTATTAACAAAGGGAATTAAAGGGAATTTCCTCACAGGGATGAAATATAACATCCTAGTAGCTCTGTTGCAAATATTCCATAGACTTACCCACTATATTTGAAATATCCTTACAACCAAACCGAACCAATGGTTTCCTTGCCACATGAAGGATGTCAAATCGTGATGTATATAGCTGGGCTGGAGCACTAACTATGCGCTGTCTCGGTTTGGTGGACTCTACTCATGTTAATCTGATTTTCAGACATGTAGAGGCATCTCAGAAGGCATCTGACCCATTGTTTAGACACTAACCAGGGAGAAGCTATGAAGAAACTGATGCACATAGGCTTCTCTTTGGGTATTCTTCTGACACTGCTGCATGGCGTCAAGGGTAGGTAACTCCAGCGTCTATTTAACTACAGTATGGACCATAAAACAGCATTACCTGCCCATTTTCTTATCGTTTCTGTACCATTTCGAAAAACAATTATTTTGATATATTTGGACAGCTTGATAACTTGGAATACAGAAAAGCGTAAAGTTTTTTTAAATTTCATATACAAACACATTCTAACGAATTTGATCCTAACGTGATGACAAATTAAAGAAAAATTTAATAACTTTGCAAGAGAATGAATATAAGTTGATGAGTATACCTTAGGTATTTCATACACACGATTGAACGAAGATATAGTAAAGTTCACTTGTACCATGCTCCGACTGCAGTCCCTTTGATCTCAGGCGTGGTGTACACCACCGTCAACTTGGTATATGTCGTTTCTGAATGAGAAGTTTATTCGGGAGTTAACGCCCGTCTTTAAGTTATTTACTATCGATAGGGAAACACCCTTGTGTCGTTCTTGATGTTGTGTCGAAGCTGGATTATACGTATTTCATATTTAGTCAACATTTTGCGCTTGTGACGAACCTCTTATACCTCGAAGTATCCGTCGAACTTCGACACAGGGGTGTTTGACTCTGTTTTTTCTGATCATAAGGTATTGATTTAATACCGTGTTGAAATGACTTTACAGGTGAAGACTACTTGGTGGCCGTGGCATATAAGGGTGAAGACTCGCACATCAGGTTCACAGCAGGAGAAACTGGGGGCCTGGTGGAGATACAGTATCCGCACCTCACCTACAGAAGGGTCGATCTATTGGGTCCATTCAGTTACGTCTCGTCCATGGTACGGGATGAAAATAAAATCACGAGCAGTTTAGAAAATAAGGCTGTCGTTGTGAGCGGAAGTGACGAAGATGTGAACATTGTGGTAGATGCTGACGGTATATTCTCTCCACTTCCTATATCTGCCCTTGGGACCAAGTACATTTTACCTTCAAGTCTCGCAACTGACAATGATTATCAATCCTTGTTACTAATAGCTACATACAACATCAGCACTACTGTTGATATATTCCTCCGAATGAACAGAGGAAGTATCAGCTTTGCCAATTACCGTTACAGTGACGGTGATGAATTATCCCTTAAACTTAATCCGTATCAAACGTTCAGGATGTCCACTCCATATGATCTGAATGGAACGGTCATTGACAGTGAACACAGCATAGCCGTCTATAGTGGTATTGAATATGCCTCCAAGTACACGGTGTATGACCAACTACTGCCGGTCAAACACTACGGACAGGAGTATGTTGTTGCTGTAGATGACACCAAAGTGGAGCTGCAGATCATCAGTGAACACAGCCACGTGCAGATCACCTTCAGTTCTGGAGCCACAGTCTCTACCGGCGAGCGTCGCCTCTATAACCGTTCACTTGAACGGGGAGAGAGTCTTCACTTCACCGCCACACGCCCGGTACTGGTGACACTCAGTCGAGGTGATGGTTACAGCAGTTCCTTCACAACCGTACCACCAGTACACTCGTACGTCACTCACAGAGGAGTCTTGCTGTTTGGTGAAGATCTCAATATAACACAAAAGATACTTACTGACAAGAAAGCCATTGTGTTGATTAAGGACAAAGAGGTCAACGACCTTTTGACATGGAGGGGTATAGAAGGAAGCAGATACAAAGTTGGCACACTGGTACAGTGCAAGTCAGGACGTATATATTCTACATCCATATCCAGCGACTTCCCCTTCACAGTTCTGTCCTTCTATAACGGATCGGTCTATAACAGCGGCTACAAAGTGTCTGTAGATGAACCGGAACATTATACAGGTATGTGGTAGTTCAATTAATTACACTGGCGTAATAATAATAAAATATAACAAGTCTTTCAAGAGAACCAAACAAAGGTGATACTATTCACAGAGGGCAAGTGAAGAATATATCAGGCTCGGCTAAATATACTCATGGAACCAAATAAGGGAACACATGGAAGTACAAGTCTTCCTTTATTCTTTTCCGGGTTTCATCACAGGTATGTATTAAAGGAATAAAGGAAAACTGGTACGTTCATGTGTTCCCTTACTTGTTTCCATGAGTATACATAAGATTCTTTCTTTGGTGTGTAATGTTTGCGTTATTTTGTCATTTTCATAAATAGAATTGTACGGAAGTTTCCATGGCTACTGTCTATACACGTGCTTTAGCTGACGTTATACTGCTAGAAATACTGATTAATTACATATAGGCACATACAGAACATAATGTCTGATGTGTTTCTTCGTGTTTAATTTGGGCGGTGGGGTAGCCTAATGGTTAAAGCGTTGGCTCGTCACGCCGAAGACCCGGGTTCGAATCCCCACATGGGCACAATGTGTGAAGCCCATTTCTGGTGTCCCCCGCCGTGATGTTGCTGGAATATTGCTAAAAGCGGCGTAAAACCAAACTCAGTCAGTCAGTCAGTCGTGTTTAATTAACTAGTGGTTAAGAAATACATGCATGTACTTTGTCTTATAGATCCAAGTTACTTGATGGTGATCTTCGAAAAGTACAGACGTAGACCTCGGATACTCGCCAGTGCTGGAGAGACAGGGGGCCAGTGGCAGGTACAGGATCCACACTCTGGGCGAGTCTGGTCTCGGCGCTTCAACCCTTACAACACAGACTACTTTATCCCCAGTACCAGAACCACCAGTGTAGTGCTTGTTCATGTCAGAGATGATGATATTCAGATCAGAGGGACAGTGGATTCTGTCACATTATTCTCTCCCCTTCCTGTGTCGGCACTAGGCACGAAGTACATCATGTCTTCCTGTCTCCCTTCTACTGACAACATTCACCGGGACACAACGTCGTACATGTCCGTCTTGGTGATAGGCACACACAGCAAGGAGGCGGATATTGACATCATCTTCAGACTGGACGGCAACGTCACCTATGACGGCAGGACCTACATCGACGGGGACACTCTCAGTATTAGATTGGATAAGTATCAGACTTTCTCCTTAAACAGTTCATCTGATATGACTAGAACCATCGTTAATGCTACGGAGACAATAGCCGTCTATAGTGGAACATACGTTGTGAGCATTGCACTCTTCACTACTTTCGAGCAGTTGCTGCCTGTGAAACATTATGGACATGAGTATATTATAGCTATCCAGGACCATTACCATGTCCGCTCATACGTGAGTGCCCTGCCATACCAGCTTCAAGTTGTTACTGACCACAGTGACACAAGCATCATGTTTAATAACGGTTCTTCCATATCAGTGGGTGAAGATGGAGTGTACCGTACACAATGTGGAAATAATGAAACGTTCTACTTCAACACCACAAGGCCAGTTATGGCCACTCTGTGTACTTCGGGAAGGCATTACTATTCTGATGGGCTAGTTGTAGTGCCCCCGGTAAGTCTTTATTCCAAGTTCACAACACTACAAGCCCCAGGTACCATGCAGATATTGACAGACCAAAAAACAACAATGTGGACGTTCAACAAGCCCATTACAATCCCTCTACAGTCTTCAGCCCTCCGGTGACATGGAAGAATCTGTCAGGTACAAGATACAAAGTGGGGACATTGAGAAGCAGGAGCTACACAACAACCATCCGTTCTAACTCTACCTTTGCTGTCCTTGGATACAATCTTTACACCGTGTACAATGGAGGATACAGTTTTAGCACATATCCAGATACAGGTTTGTCTGATATATACAAATATTTAAACACACACACACACACACACACACACACACACACACACACACACACAGGCAGACAGAGGGGAGAGGAGAGAGAGACAGGTGTGCGTGCGTGCGTGCGTGCATCCATCCATCCATCCACTCATACATGCATGCATGCATACATGCATATATACATGCATACACACACACACACACACACATACATACATACATACATACATACACATACATACATACATACATACATACATACATACATACAGAATACACATACATACACAGATGAATGTATCTGTATAGAAGGTAGACCCCTATATTCTCCACGTCTATAATCTACCCAATATGTATATGAATGTATCTGTACAGAAGGTAGACCCCTATATTCTCCACGTCTATAATCTACCCAATATGTATATGAATGTATCTGTATTGAAGGTAGACCCCTATATTCTCCACGTTTATAATCTACCCAATATGTATATGAATGTATCTGTATAGAAGGTAGACCCCTATATTCTCCACGTTTATAATCTACCCAATATGTATATGAATGTATCTGTATTGAAGGTAGACCCCTATATTCTCCACGTTTATAATCTACCCAATATGTATATGAATGTATCTGTATTGAAGGTAGACCCCTATATTCTCAACAACAAGGAGAGTTCTGTGGATATACACCTTCTTTAATATGATATGAGCGACGTTTCGGTGTAGCTACTAACACCGTTATCAAGCAAATGACGTACAATACTAGATGCAAGGTATATTTATATACATGGTAAAGTTGAACAGTAAGTGATGATGTTTCTCCACGTTTATAATCTACCCAATATGTATATGAATGTCCCAGCAGCTATTTAAACCAAACGTAAGCAGAACCTGACAATAAAAAACTGTCGCAATATTTGCCATGTAGGGATTATCCGTCTACAACGGAGGTTACACTTTCGGAACAGGTAATACTTAATGGCCACAGTTCTGTAGATTAAACACAATAGACCACGTCTATACAGTATATCCTAGTCTCTTGATCCAAGTGTATGATTTGCACTGCCTTGTACAGGACCAGAGGTATCCAGTTGCCTTGTCCCTACTTCCCAGCAGAGAATGGACACCCCCACAAGTAAACTTTCTCAATACTGATGTGATATGATGTGATACATTTGTATATGATAAATAAATCATCATTTCATTGTGATCAGAAAATGAAATTTAACAGAAATAAATAAATTATTTTTGTCCTTCAGCTACTTCAACTAGAAGAGTCCACTTTTAGATCATAGGGGTGACACTAGTTTATCATTGCGTAATCAGCAGTCAACAGACCATAAGATGTTGTTTTAAGACTGTAGGCTAATTGAGATGTAGGCGAATAGAGAACAATCCGTTTTCTGTACAGTTAATCTTTACAATCAAGGTTTCACAATCAAAGGCCTTGGTGATAAAAGTGCCAAAAACCCACTCCACAATCACAAGACATTTCTGTTAAAAGCAAATCCTTCTTCAAACAACTTCGGAGCAAGAGTGGTATTAGTCAGTTTAAAACTTTCCATAGAGAAAACGTTCCATGACTGTGTGAATGATTATTCTATTTCTATTCTCCAGTGCAGGAGTGTCAGACATAACAGTTCCAAACACGTTTATGTTGAAATGAGGAGAAACATGCCACTACTATGGAGAAACACATGAACCACTAACTAACGAATTGATCTTCAGCAACCCATGCTTGTCGTAAGAGGCGACTAACGGGATCGGATGGTCAGGCTCGCTGACTTGTTTCAAATATGTCATGGTATCCCATTTGCGTAGATCGATGCTGATGATGTTGATCACTGGATTGTCTGGTCCAGACTCGATTATGTACAGACCGCTGCCATATAACTGGAATATTGCTGAGTGCGGCGTTAAAATAAACTCACTCACCTACTTTTATCCCCATGATATAGTTCTATGAACGTGTCGGGGGACTAACTGTTATAATCTGTTAACATGTTCCCAGGCGATGGGGTGGATTAGTGGGTAAAGCGTCATGCCGAAGACCGGGTTCAGTTCTCCAACAACAACAAACAGCTAACTATCTTTAACAGCCAATTTATATATTAAAAGTCAAGTATAATTTTCAGGTGGCAACCCGACCAACACTGCTATGATCGTGGGTGTAGTCTGTGGAATAGTCATTGTGGCTCTCCTGGTCGCCTTTATGGCATATGTACTCTACTCTCTGTGAGTATTTATGAGTTTACCATTCTTTGTATGTTGTGGTAGGCTGTGAGGTGGGGTAATAGTAGGCTTGTTTGTCCTGTGAAGATCCGGGTTTAGAATTGGCCTTCAGCAACCCAGGCTTGTTTGTCCTGTGAAGATCCGTGTTAGAACTGGTCTTCAGCAACCCAGGCTTGTTTGTCCTGTGAAGATCCGGGTTAGAACTGGTGTTCAGCAACCCAGGTTTGTTTGTCCTGTGAAGATCCGGGTTACAACTGGTGTTCAGCGACCCAGGCTTGTTTGTCCTGTAAAGATCCGGGTTAGAATTGGCCTTCAGCAACCCAGGCTTGTTTGTCCTGGTCAGACCCAGATCAGGCCTGTTGAAGAACTGGTTTTCAGCAACCCAGGCTTGTTTGTCCTGTGAAGATCCGGGTTTTACAAGGCTTGGTCTTCACTGGTCTTCAGCAACCCAGGCTTGTCAGTCCTGTGAAGATCCGTGTTAGAATTGGTTTTCAGCAACCCAGGCTTGTCAGTCCTGTGAAGATCCGGGTTAGAATTGATCTTCAGCAACCAGGCCCAGGCTTGTAAGGGACGACAAACAGGATCGAGCGATTAGGATTGCTGACTTAGTTGACACATGTTATCCTATCCCAACTACATAGATTGAATCACTGGATTGTCTGGTCGAGCCAGACCACCGCCATATAGCTGGAATATTGCTGAGTGCGGCGTGAAACAACAAATAATAAAAGAAATACAATTCCACGCTATATGGACACGTGTCGGCCAGTCCTTCTTTTATCTACCCGTGAAGATCCGGGTAAGAATTGATCTTTAGTAATCCATGCTTGTCGTAAGAGGCGACTAACGGGATCGGGTGGTCAGACTCGCTGACTTGGTTGACACATGTCATCGTATCCCAATTGTGTAGATCGAGTGAGTGAGTGAGTGAGAGGGTGGGTGGGTGGGTAGGTGAGTGAGTGAGTCCAACGGATGAAAAGATCCGATGTGATGCAGGTCTTGGACGTTCCCAGCCCATTAAGAATACGAATACACTTTGAACAAGGTCCGTGAAAAAGGTTCTTAAAGTATGCCATTTAAAAGATTCTGACAACTGTCGATTATTTATCAGTAATGTCTCTTCATAAATTGTATATGTTTCAACGTAAATCTACCCGTGAAGATCCTGGTTAGAATTGATCTTCAGTAACCCATGTTTGTCGTCCGAGGCGACTAACGGGATCGAGTGGTCAAGCTTGCTGACTTGGTTGACACATGTCATCTGTTTCCAATAACGTATACCGATGCTCATGCTGTTGATCACTGGATTGTCTGGTCCAGACTTGATTATTCACTGACTGCTGCCATATAGCTGGAATACTGCTGAGTGTGGTGTAAAACTAAACTCACTCACTCACTTAGAATTGGTCTTCAGCAACCAATGGTTGTCTGTCCTGTGAAGATCCTGGTTAAATTTTAGAAGTGGTCTTCAGGAACTGTCGATGTATTTCTCAACATTTACATTGTTTCTGATGAAAGCGTTTCTTCTTGTAGACGCAGGAAGACGTTGCCAGTTAAGGGAAATGCAAAACCAAGGGATGACATTCCCTCACCTACTTACTACGACGAATTCGAAGTCACTCAAGGTGATGACATTCCTTCACCAACTTACTTCACAGAGCCTCACGTCGACGAAGTCGCTCAAGGTGAACAAAGCGAGCATGTCTACACGGAAATAACATAAAATATCTTCTCGCCTGACAATACAAGGCATGTTTACAGCAATGCTTCAAATTTAATTTTTTCGGGTAGAATAAATATAGAGATATTTATGCAAATGGAAAACAGTTATCATGCTCTATTGCTCTATTTTTGCAACGCTTTGTCGAACATCCATGCCATTTCTTAACATCCCATGAACAGAAGTTTGAATTTGAAGTTTTACGTTCATAGGTGGGGTGGGTTGTGGTGGTAGGGTGGTGCTCATTAAGTTTGTACATGACATGAGTGGGTGGGGGGTGTTGGTAGGGAATTGTCACTTAATTTGTACATAAACCTTAATGGGGGCTATTCACATTGTATGTGCTTCTTCATAATAAAAACATCATTTCGCACACCTGTTAGCATGGGTTGCTGAAGACCAATTCTACCCGGATCTTCACAAGTGTTTTGTTGAATATGCAAATAAAATCATATTTTTTCAGCTACATTAAATCTTAGGAGAGATACCCCAAACTGGCTTTGAAATATTTCCCAAACGGCACATTTGTGTAACCTTGCTGCGATACTCCAGGTGGAATTTTGAAATGAATACGCTGAAATAAACTGAATGGCCCTAGAAACTTGAGACAAATATATCCCCAGAGATACCCCAACAGTTAAAGTATAAAGCTGATTAGATTTATCTATGAATATATTATGACTCTTGATACACGCCAAGATCTATAATTACATTTCCCAAAACGTTTGGAAAGCGAGCGTACAATCTCCAAAACAAGATCGTTAGAAATACATGAGAGTGAGTGAGTAGATTTGGTCTTACGCCGCTTTTAGCAGTATTCCAGCAATATCACGGCGGGGGACACCAGAAATGAGCTACACACATTGTATCCATGTGGGGAATCGAATCTGGGTCTTCGGCGTGACGCGCGAACGCTTTGACCACTAGGCTACCCCACCGCCCAGGGGCCCATGAGAGCCGTTATGTAAACAAACGTACGTGCGTGTATGGCATTATCCTTATTAAAAAGCATGAAGCAATACAATTCTATAGGCCATGTTCTTTGTACTTTCAACATGACGATACATATTTTTCTTCATTTTTTAAATAAAGACGTGTTGCTAAAAAACGATTTTAGTACTCGGGATTTTTATTATCAAAGCACGCAATCATTACGCGCGTTCTGATTGGGTTGTCGTATATTCGCACATAATAAGCATCAATGGGGTGGGGGTGGGGGTTGTTATGGTAACCGATGGTCTTGTCCGTAAAGCCAAGCATCTTTGCAGCGATCTCCCTGAGAAATCGCTACATCTCACCAAGATTTGTCTCCTGAGATGACGAGTATTGAATGATAAATCATGGTCGCCAGGCCGAATGGACTGATATATGAAGATTAGATCTAGTATGGCAGTAAAGTCCAGATGATTCTGAATTCCATTTATCATTTTTTCAAGGATAATATTGCGGGAAACACACCCATTCAGTTTCTGTTCATGATGATAAACGTTTTGTAAACTATAGATTGTTTTGATGTACCACTTGGACAGATAGCAAGTAGCAAAGCTTTACTTGGCCCTTTTGACTTTTCTTTGGCCCTTTTTACTTCTTCTGTTTCGGCCCTTTGGCCCTTTTGACCTGTTGCCAGCTAAATGATGGATCGGAAGATTCAAAGCATTTTCATAAACTGAGGGCAAATCTTTCAAACTCTTATCTGTACAGTGTGGAAGGATAAAGCCAATGAACCGGTGAATTCAAGTCCTTGTTGAAATATAACAGTACTTCTGATGTATAAAAGAATAGGAAATGTTCTGGGTGGGGAAGACTAGAAATAGGCTTCACACATAGCACCCACGTGGGGAATACGAAGGTGGAAAACACAGGGGAGAAAAAGACTTAAATGTTGCTATTGTTGAGGTATACATGTACAATACTGGACGCGACATCTAATAGGGGGGAGAAGAAAGGGGGTTCGAGACTCAGACATTCTCCTTCTTCTTCAATGTGGAGTTTAGTCATTTACATTCTAGTTCTGCAATGTGGACTTTAGTCATTTTCAAAACAAAATGCCCCCAAACCGGATCCGTCCGTGCATCTGCAGTTTGCCATCAAGGGATCTGCATCGGGAATGAATGAATGAATGAATTAATTAATTTGTTAAACAGCTAAACCAATAAAACGACTGAGCAGAGGGAAACTTAATATTTATTCATATATATATATTTTGGGAGCGTCCACCTTCCTCCCTTGTATAATTATACACATAAACATATATATTAGACAGTATTATTTGGCACCTATACTTCTATTTGTTGACAAAGGGGGGCTGGCACAACACCGCCAGGGAATATAGAACCACAATCATAATTAAGACACCAACATCATATTTATATACAGTAAATAAAGCATTAGTACTGCACAACAATGTATCAAAACATTAAACATAGACAAGCTGGGAAGCAAGGCCTTTCTGATGAACCCTCAAGACAGCTGAGAATACTGACGAATGCCTACAATACAGGATATAACTTAGTGAGCAAATATATATGTGATTTAAAACAACAGGGTGTCCGGTTTTATGCATCTTTAGAACTATTTCACAAATATCACAGTGACAGCAGAAACTGGCTTAATTTGTTGCACCCATGTATGAAATCTAACCCAGATCTTTTCGCATAAGCCAATGCTTCACCCACATGACCATCCCTTTCCTCCTGGCGCTAATAACATATACACCACAACTTATAACGGATCGAGTGAGTGAGTATGGTTTTAAGCCGCTTTTAGCAATATTCCAGCAATATCATGGCGGAGGACACCAGTAAAGGGCTTCACACATTGTACCCATGTGGGGAATCGAATCTGGGTCTTCTCTTTGATGAGCGAACGCTTTAACCACTTGGCTTAGCCAATGCCCACTTATAACTGGCACAGAATGGTTGTGCATGGTCCCGTATTGAAAAAGGCTATTGGTTTTTGCCAATACCAAGAATGTCATTGTCTGCAATAATTAGATATTTAGAATATTTCTTTCACACTCTCATCGAGAGAGAGACAACTACTTAATGCTGTACAACCAATACTTTGTATTCCATAGTGGGACCTTCAAAACCATTATGTTCAATATTAGATTCCAGTTATTATCTGCTGACTATCATAACCGAGTATGTTGAGTGGCAGTGTTGAAGTTCCCATATTTGGGATATTCAGATATTTGACAAAACATACCAACATCAATGCAATAACGATCATACCATAACTGAGTCTTCTATAATGAGGCTACCTTGAGGGTTGATCTTGCGTGTAATAACAATACTTGCTTCCTGAGACAAAACAATACAAGAAAGCAAGCTGCACCTGCAGGGGTGACAGCCTCTCAGGTCACCCCCAGCAATATATGTATCAGTGAAAAATGGGGGTGGAGGGTGGGAAAGACGGGATATGGAGAAGGGGTGTGAAGTCTTGCCTGCATATTGCCTTTGATCAAATGAAACATTGCTCACATGTGTTTCCATGTTTCTGTCAGTCAGCCATCAGTGCTATCCCAAAATCCAGACAAGTTATAAATATCTTTTAGCAGGCAATGTGCAGGTGGCAGGCAACATGGAAATGACATTAAGACAAGGAAAACTAAGTTCTATTGAAAGTCAACTTCGTTATTGCAATGAATGTGATGATTTGGAATAGATACTAACACCGAATCTACTACAAATATTGATAACCGTGTTCGTATCTACACCAAAACATTGCATTCATTGCATTAAAAAAGTTGACTATCCACAGAACTTGGTTTTCCTTCATCTTCACAACTTCTAAAATGCCTCTCAAAAAAGACATTAAGAATTTAAGATAATCAGAGCATTGGCAATTTGACAATGTTGTCAGTACTATTATATCATGCTAGTGTCATCCCTTCACGAAAAGGAATGTCATACCCAAATTCCAGTTCTTTGTCATACTAAGAGTCAAATCAAATGCTGCTATTAACAGAATTACCACATACAGTGATACACTGTTTTATCAAAGGTGCAAGGACTTATGTAAATACTTTAAATTTTCCAATGTTAGACACAGCTGTAAAATGACTAAATCATGAATCCACAAGGACTAAGCTTTCACTTCCATGTGAGGAATCGAACCCGGGTCTTTGGTGTGACAAGACAACACTTTATCCACTAGGCTACCCCACTGCCCCGAGTGAGTGAGTGAGTGAGAGTGATATGGTCAAATGCAGCTCTGAGAAGTATTTCTGTTACATCACGGTATATCAGCTGATGAGGGAGGAAAGCCCCAAGTGATGCAGGTACCGTTTACTTGTCAACTGAACCCAAGGACAGGTTGGATGCTCTTAAACCTGCAGACATTATCAGGGCAGAAATGGGATTAAAACTCACTCAGCTATTTTTCTATCAAGCATAAGGGACACAACTCAGGAGAGCCAATCACTTTCCTCATCACTTTTTATCTCTGTGCTGATAACATGTCCTCAAATCAATCTTTTTGTTTACAGCTGACATTATTAAGTAATAATGAACATTAATACTGTTTCAATAATCATTTTGCTTGTGTTCACTCAATCTATTCTCCATCTAAATACTGAACATTACACTTGACAGGTAACAGAAAAATAACACCCAAACTGTGCAACAAAAGCTCATGATATGTGGTTGTGTAATATCAAAACTACTGCACTTCAAACATATTCTGCATCAAAAACAAATACAAGAATCTAATAACTCTAGCACAGAAAACACTTCTAAAATGATTTTAACAAGCAGAAACAGCATGTCATAGTTAGGTAATGTTATTAAACCTGTACAAGATTAAGCATTGTAAAATAATTCAATTCTGTTGCAAGAACTGTTCATAGTTAGGCATGTAAGAAGCATCTTATTCAAATGTACATACATATAATTCAAAATCATCCATTACTTATAGTATGGCAACACATGTTGCCATGGTAACAACAGACAGACTAATCTTATAATTCTGTAAGAAGGCGAATCTTAAGTACTCATTTTGTAACTTTGATTTGATTCAGCTAAAACAATTTAATGACTGAAACACAATAGATTGAGGAAGTGACTGTGAGGAGAATAAACAGCAAGAGTGAGTGAGTGAGTTTAGTTTTACGCCACACTCAGCAATATTCCAGGTTTATGGCGGCGGTCTGTAAATAATCGAGTCTGGAACAGCCAGAACATAGTATAAGTGCATTTCATTGAAAGAAAACAAAATTGAAAAAATATCCAATAACAAAAACTTTCTTAACTTAACAATTAAGAACAAAACCTATGTTAGGTTTTAATTATCAAAGAAAGATCAAATTAAGCAACACTGCTGGTTTAGCTTTAATTGTTCCAAATGTCAAAATACTTTTTTAATTCTAAAGGTGTATTTGCCCTCTCCTTTCAGTGTAAAGTTTCCATGGTTACAGACATACAATAATTAGGATAATCTACCTTTTTCCACAATAATTGAACTCTTAAAAACATACACACCTGTATTCATTATGTAATACCTTTAGTTCCCTTTGACCATTTCATTCAGGTCTGGGCAGGTCATGATAACAATCCTCAACAAGAATCCTGTTTCCATGGTTACTCTTAATTCCACTATCCATGAATGTATTCCATCATCTTATCTTAATTTTCTGTTATGACCTTTTTCGTTGAGATACTTTCCTACTTTAAAGATGCTTTCCGTTTTACACATGCTCTCAAAACCATACTGACATGATCTCACACCTCTTAAGAGAGTATGAGGTGAGGTGAAATTGGGTTTAACGCTGTGCTTGAGAATATTTCGCTCATATGACAACGTAAGAGTATGAAAACTTCATTCTAGTCTAAAGAAAGGAAACATTGTTCACATAAATGTACTATCTTTATATCTTTAAGAACTTTTTATCAAATCCTGTTAAGACGAGAGGTTCTTCCAAAGGTTGTGAGGTGTTAAAGACTTGTCTAACAAATTGCAATGGACAAGATGACAAATAATAGTGAGTTGGGCTTTACACCGCTTTTAGCAATATTCCAGCAATATCACAGCAGGGGACACCAGCTTCACACATTTTGCCCATGTGGGGAATCAAACTCGGGACTTTGGCGTGATGAGCGATCACTTTAACCACTAGGCTACCCACCGCCCCTGTCAAAGCATAAATTACATTATACTATAAGCATAAATCACAGCTACCGGTAAGTAAATAAATTTCATTATCAATATTTAATAACTGACAAGTTATTGATCATGACACTGTTACTACATGCTTGGCATTGCTGTGTCAGTGTATGAAGTGGTAAACATGGCTGAATGTGACTAAATCTTAATACACAGACTAGACAATCACAACTGTATGTAAAAATACTCTGATTAAGTGAGACAGGAATCTAGAAAAACACAGGGACAAGAATGATATTTTTACAGAGCTTCGAATAACATCCTCTTTAATTAAAAATATGTTGTGTATTTATTCAGGTTCCATTCTTTGAACTAATACATTTTACTTCAGATATCATTAACTAAATATCAATTATCGCAAAATCGTAATTACTTATGCCAAAACTGACAAGAAATCCCATAAGATGACAAACCCTCCATTAAACCCGTGTCCTGTTCAAGGGAGTTAACTCTAAAATGTTCTTGACACCAAACAGGAGTGTGAGTATTGATGACAGTTAAATACCATCTTCAGCAACTAATTACAGATGGGCTTCATATACAAAGCAATCGTCCTCTGAATCAAACTCAAACCTTTAGTGGGATAACCAAACCATGATCCACTGGACTAACCCAACTCCTGTCCATGGGAGAAGGTCAGTAAAATATAAATAATAATAATAAATAAATCCCTTGCAGACCCATGGTGGGTTGGTGCAGAGGCAGTGGTGTTCACATAGCTTTTGGGAGAATATTTTGCAGGTAAGGGACAGAAGCATGTTTAGTTTCCATCTGCTTCAAGATTGGAGAGATATAGCAAAAGTACTAAACATACCATAAATAATGATTTCACACCCCTTCCTTATCCAACGTTACATTGAGAACATATCACATACATATCACATGTTGAATAGAGGCATAGTGAAGAGGAGTGAGTGATCTGGACTTGATTGTGATTTAGATAAGTATTTCAGAAATATCTTTGCATTTCATTTCCTCAGCGTAACGTTGGAAGTAAGCTTGAAAACCATTACAGTCTGTTTGATTTCATTTGAGACCGATGAACTGCTCACTAACACAAAATCTAATAATTGCAAGAAAACCAAATTTTGCACAGTGACATGAAATCGACAGACCAACTCTGATGATTTGTCTCATAATTTTGGACACGAAAATAAAAAGTTGTTTAACAAACGATCATTATATTGTCACTTTTTCGCTATGTATTACGAGGGGGACCACTTGCTGGTAGAACAGCCAGGTGTGCGAGTTGCACATGTGAAATTGAAATTTCAATACACACGCTTGTTGATTACCTGGCTGTTCTACCCGCTCTCCCCGACAATTGTGTGACTGATATGAACAGAGATGCCTGTTGTCTGGGTGTAGTGACACGCAATCAAGTAAGACTGACCAGCAAATTCCTACCAACAGGGACCTCCTCTAACCTGGAATTTCATCGGGTGCATGGTGAGTGCCAACAAACCAAGAATCAAATCACAATTTGGAATTCAAATCACTGACTTAATGGACATCTTAATAATTGCAACCAATTTCAAAAAGGAATAATGATAAGAGAGATAATTATCCATATGGAAAGCTATTCCTTAACAAGTCATTGAATATTTTTCTTTAAAAAAAATGAAAATCAACAAACAATGAATGCTTGAACAAGTCCTGCAAAACAATATGAGTGACATTATTATAATCAAACACTAAGCCCACATAAGCATAAAGCAAACTATCTAAAATTAAATTATGCCTATTGAAATTTACATGGTAAGAAATCGTTCCAAGCAGAATGTACAATGTTTTCCTTGTTAAGTGGATAGACACAAGTGACTTTTTACAACACAGACATTCATAAATCTGACAACAGGATAACAAGTGGAAGAATGTTCAAGTAAAATATAACAAAGTTACTCTGACTAAACAATGATCACTGTTTCAACACACAATAACATCAATATGCTCATGTAACTCTCAACAACTTAGTCCACTCTATCTAATAAATCAAGCATTACTTTCACATTTAACCTAAGTCTATCATCACAGTCATCAAACATAGCAAAGACATAGAGTATATCCCCCTGTAATTGAGTTGGTCTCCATTTAATCATGAAACAATACATTCCAAGTTATCTCCCTTGATTCTCCACCCCGAGTTAGATGAAAATTGAATGAACAATAGAATAGTGCTTGGAAAACTCAATAAAGTTAAAGCTGTTTTCCCAACATCATGCAAGTTTGTTTATATAAATAATGGTGTCGTGTTTTCAACAGGGACAGAATTAATAATAGTTACATTTCGAAAAAAAAGGAATAACAAGATAATTGTGTTTCATGAAATAGTTTCCATAATCAGTTAATAGAAGCCATTGTATGTTGCATACGTACATTTCAAAATTACACCTGATGTAATACTAATTTTATGTAATGTAGATGTTTATTCTCAATATGTTGAACAACATATAAAACAGAAATATGGCAAAACTACAAGATAAAAGATATTTACTAGCATTTTTCAACATAATGCTGCCATTCAGGACTGAACACATCAACTTATTGAGATCAACTTGTGTTGTACGAACAGAATGAAGGGAGATAACTACAGCCTGTCTGTCCATGCAACTGAACATCTACCAAGGAAAAGACATACATAATTTATTGATATCAATAATCATTAATAAAATTTATATAAAGTTGTCAAAAATACTTTGTTCTTGTGGAAAGTGTCTTGCATCATCAACCCTGTCGGGACATCTGTGTTGACCGGCATTATACCAGCTTGAAAGAACTTAAGCATTACAAATCCATCTCGTCATTCTTCTCCTGGTTGCTGGGACCAGGTTTCATGTCCAAGCAACTAAAAACAGCATCCCAGGACCAGGGCCAAGCATCCTGCCCGAACCAATAAAGACAACTGCAACATCACATAATGCCCTTCGATCTCGTGGTGTTGCTTCAATTCTTCAGTTTCGTATCCGATGAAGAAACATGCTTTGAGATCCTCTGGTCTGGAAACAACCGTCCATGAATGTGAGCTCATCATCTAGGTGGAATAATCCATGGTCTTGATGAACTCGACTGCTGATGAGAACTGCATCCACCAATACTGCTCCTCCCCTGCGAGTCGACTCTCGTAGAAGCTGTTCACATACTGTATGGTAGACAGTAGACATGGTGGGTTGGCCTTGATAAGGACAAATATAAGTACTGGGATGAAGTCGTCGGCCGCGGGCACAGATTTCTCGTTGGCCATACTCAGAAGGTTCATGATGGTGGTAGAGCATCGCAACACGCATTGAAGCTTGTCCTTTGGGGTCTGAGAAGTATTGAACATTCCTTTCTTACAACTATTAACAGCAGTTTTTGATTGTTATTTAATTTAAGCCATATCATAGAAGCTGATAAATAATGAAATCAGAGTGAGTTTAGTTTAACCACTAGGACACCCCACTACCCTCTGGGGCTTGTCATGCAAAACCGAACTTCAAGATGCATATTGTCACCTCCTGGGTCTAGCTCTCTCTCTCTCTCTATATATATATAAGAAAAGGAATGTAACGAGGTCAAAACACCAAGTCAGGATGAATTTATCAATGCTCACTCTAAGTATCCCTCTAAAAGTATACCCACATTTCCAAACAACAGATTTAGTAAGAACTTGAGACACAGACAAAAATCAAAGCCATGCTTTGGGACCTAGTACCTTTGAATTCGTTTAGAATATGTCTCACTAAAGTCCCGAATTTCTGAATCAATTGCAACCAGCACCTGTCAGCAGGCTAATCGCCATGCTCTCTGAGATTCAAAAACGTAACAGCCACAATAAATTTACCTACATCTATTCATCTCAATCAGGTGTGGGTGAGTGAGTAAATATTGCTGCATTAGCAATTTTGCAGCTATTCGCAGCCAATCGGCTGTGACCATTTGCCATTGTGTGGATCTTAGCGAATGCTGATTAGTATCTTACTAAGCCACCTCCATCCCAGCAGAACCCACCTTGTATGCATTGATCATGTAGATCTCGCGCTGAGCTGCCGGCCACGGACACTCAAAGTGGTACATGCGGGGTATACACAGGTCCTTGTGTGTCGGAGTAATTAGTGCCGACAGCTTCTTCAGATGCTGATGGAAAAGTCTGCAACACACAGAATTTCATGCATGCATGGAAGACAAAGGGTTAACCAAGTCCAAGAAAGAAAATCGATCAAACTCCAAGGAAGAAAATCGATCAAACTAACTGAAGTTGCTGTTCAGTTTGGGTTCACTATAATTCGTGAACTTTTTCAATACAAAGTGAACATGAAATCATTCCGTGAAAACACTGAAACTTTGTTCCCCTGTTTTCCAGGTGACATAAAGTGGTAAGAACATAGCCGACTCAGATAATTTGACCACTGCTAAATGGCTGCCATGATGCAAGAAAATAAGATTTTAAAACATCACCGCAAGGGACTACCAAAACACAGGAATATGAAAAGAAGTCTTACAATATCTATGTTTGAAACAATGTTTACTACAGGAGTGATAATACAAATTCATGTGACTGTATCCCAATTGGGTAGATTGATGCTCATGCTGTTGATCACTGGATTGTCTGGTCCAGACTTGATTATTTGCAGACCGCCACAATATAGCTGGAATATTGCTGAGTGCAGTGTTAAACAACAAACCAATCAACCAAATTCAAGAAATTTCATTGAAAAAGACAATTTTGGTATATGTGAACAGAGGTTTAACAATGTCTAGGTTAGACAGTCATTGTTTGACTTACTGGTCCCTCATGAAGTCTCCGTCTCCATTTGGAAACATGGCATGACTGTACACTCGACTCATCAGCAGGCGTTCCACGGCCAGTCGGGCGTCAATCAGCTGGTTCTCTGTGGCAGCTGCACACAAAACATACATATTACTCAGAGGAAACCATTTTGCAAAGACAAGCTGCACTGCCATACTTTCAGGGTTCGATTTTGGTTCTTTTTCAGTACCTACACCGAGTGCAACATGGCTGATAGGTTTGGCTGCACCATCCAAATTTTGGTTGCATCACAAAATATTGTCACTAGTTATAAAAAAGTAACATACACATTTGTTTGGCAATTATCATAACAAGTACTCAGCATACATTCATTATCATGGGGTGATAAGTGATGAATGATTCTGTTTCAATATTGCTTTACCTTTGTGTATGAATTTCAACTATATGATAACTTCTACATAACTCATTTAGTACACAAATGTTTCTGCTCGTAACAAGAGAGTGAGTGAGTTTAGTTTTACGCCGGACTCAGCAATATCCAAGCTATATGGCGGCGGTCTGTAAATAATCGAGTCTGGACCAGAAAATCCAGTAATCAACAGCATGAGCATCGATCTGCGCAATTGGGAACCGATGACATGTGTCAACCAAGTCAGTGAAACTGACCACCCGATCCCGTTAGTCGCCTCTTACAACAAGCATAGTCGCCTTTTATGGCAAGCACATGGGTTGCTGAAGACCTATTCTAACCCAGATCTTCATGGGTCCTGCTCGTAACAAGCTGTGCGCTGAGAAACATATTACTTCAAGTCACTTACTTCCCAATTAAAACACAAGATGACAGCTATAGGATGTTGGAGAATTTATTGTTACCAGGTGCAACCTGTTACTAAAGGTAACCTGCACCATTCAGTTTTAGCATGCACCAGTGCAGGTTGTTATTAGCGAAATCGCACCAGACCTCAGATGATAATAACAAGTGATCTATCATGTTCTAACATCACCATGGGAAACATAAATGTGCTCTACTGATCTATTATGCACCAAGATCACCATGTGTGACAGGTAGAGGCTTCTAGTGACCTCCTCTAGTCTGAAATACACTTGGAGACAAGCATGGTGTACTAGGGATCCATAATGCCCTTAGACCCCATTTTAGACAGGCATGGTGTACTAGGGTTCCATAATGTCCTTAGACCCCATTGGAGACGAGCATGGTGTGCTAGGGTTCCATAATGTAATTAGACCCAATGTTAGACAGGCATGGTGTACTAGGGTTCCATAATGCCTTAGACCACATTGGAGACTAGCATGGTGTACTAGAGTTCTATAATGTCCTTAGACCCCATTTTAGACAGGCATGGTGCACTAGGGTTCCATAATGCCTTAGACCACATTGGAGACCAGCATGGTGTACTAGAGTTCTATAATGTCCTTAGACACCATTTTAGACAGGCATGGTGCACTAGGGTTCCATAATGCCTTAGACCACATTGGAGACGTGCATTGTGTACTAGGGTTCAAAATGCCCTTCAACGCCATTGAAGACAAGCATGGTGTACTGGGGATCTATATTGAGCTTAGGCCTCATTGGAGACCAGCATGGTGTACTAGGGTTCCATAATGCCCTCAGACCCCATGGGAGACAAACATACTGGGGATCCTTAATGCCCTTAGACTCCATTGGAGACCAGCATGGTGTACTAGGGATCCATAATGCCCTCAGACCCCATTGGAGACCAGCATGGTGTACTAGGGTCCCATAACGCCCTCAGACCCCATGGGAAACCAACAGACTGGGGATCCTTAATGCCCTTAGACTCCATTGGAGACCAGCATGGTGTACTAGGGATCCATAATGCCCTCAGACCCCATTGGAGACCAACATACTGGGGATCCTTAATGCCCTTAGACTCCATTGGAGACCAGCATGGTGTACTAGGGATCCATAATGCCCTCAGACCCCATTGGAGACCAACATACTGGGGATCCTTAATGCCCTTAGACTCCATTGGAGACCAGCATGGTGTACTAGGGATCCATAATGCCCTCAGACCCCATGGGAGACCAACATACTGGGGATCCTTAATGCCCTTAGACTCCATTGGAGACCAGCATGGTGTACTAGGGATCCATAATGCCCTCAGACCCCTAATGGGAGACCAACATACTGGGGATCCATAATGCCCTTAGACTCCATTGGAGACAGGCATGATGTACTGGGGATCCATAATGACCACTGATGTGAACCATTGGATCAGATGTTACAACAGTGTGAGTGAGCACTGACCTTTCCATATTGAATCCTGTTCCATCTCCCGGTAGAGAACCTGTAAGAACCTGTCCACCAAGTCAGTCTGAAAGAGAGACATAGAGTGTCATATATAACAACAGAAGGAAAATACCAGTCAAACATAAATTACTTAGTTACCAGTCAAACATATATTTAGTTACCAGTCAAACATATATTTAGTTACCAGTCAAACATATATTTAGTACATTCGAGGGCAAACATATCGGGGTTAATATTTTTCATACGATGCCCTAGGGCAAAATATCACTTTATCATGGTGACGTGACGTCATGAACAATGCTATGACGTCACGTTTCTTCTGAGACGTTGCGTTCTACATGCGGCGACGGCGGGTAGACAGCCTACATTTGAAAGTAGATTTGGGTTATTTTCCTCAATTTGACGACTTCGGTAATAAACAGAATATTATATGAGTGCCCATATCATACTATGTTTACGACACTCATGCCTAAATATTGGTATATCCCCCGCTCTCGTTTAGGCGTTCGTGTCGTAAACACAGTATGACATGGGCACTCATATAATATCCTCTATTTAGTTACCAGTCAAACATCACATATTCAGTTACTAGTCAAACATCATATTTCATAGATACCCCTGCTTAGGTAACCCTGCTGGGTCAAGGCATCCCCAAACTAACCCTGCTGGGTTAAGATACCCCTAAGGTATACCTCAAGATTGAGGCATCCCTTGGATATCCCTAAGGTACCCCAGCTCGGTCAAGGCATCCGTAAGGTATTCCTGCTTGGTTCAGGTATGCCTAAGGTATTCCTAATCAGCTATGACTCTACCTTCTCATCCGCCACAGTGAGCTTCTGGAAATCCGAGATGAAGTAGAGGACATTCTTTTCCCTCCTTTCTATGAACAGCCGCACGCACACATTAACCATGTGTTTGTTGCAGATCTCCTTGTCCCTGAAATACACAGAACACAGTCATTTGCAACAAAACACGGCCAGTTGTCAATCATTCCACAGTCAGTTGCTATAGTTATCCTTGCAGCTGGTTACCACGTTCTAATGCCTTACTCACCAAGAAAAGCTATTAGATGATACATTATGATATATCCATGTACCCGTGAAGGTCCGGGTTAGAATATTGATCTTCAGTAACCCATGCTTGTCGTAAGAGGCGACTAACGGGATCGGGTGGTCAGACTCGCTGACTTGGTTGACACATGTCATTGGTTCCAAGTTGCACAGATCGATGCTCATGCTGTTGATTACTGGATTGTCTGGTCCAGACTCGATTATTTACAGACCGCCGCCATATAGTTGGAATAGTGCTGAGTGTGGCGTAAAACTAAACTCATTCACTCACTCACATCCATGTACAGGGTGGTGGGGTAGCCTTGTGGTTACAGCGTTCACTCATCATGCCAAAGACCCAGGTTCGATTCCCCACATGGGTACAATGTATGAAGCCCACTTCTGGTGTCCCCCGCCATGATATTGCTGGAATATTGCTAAATGCGGCATAAAACTAAATTCAGTCAGTCAGTCAGACATCCATGTGCACTGTGGTACACCATGATACAGTATGGGTCAATGAGGCTAACCATAATACACCGCTGTACAGTACAATACCCTATGGTACACACCTGTGACAGGTGAAATTGGGTTTAACGTCATGCTTGAGAATATTTCGCTCATATGACGTCGTGCATGCGTGTGTATGTGTATGTGCGGCTGCTTGTACTAGCCCAGACTAAGCTGGTTTTATAGTGCTAGCCCACTGAGATACCATGCCGGAGTGAAGCATGAATACCCCACTCAGACACATTATACTGACTCCAAGCCGACCAGTCCTTGTTGTACCCATTAATGCCGAGCGCCAGGCAGGGACCAACAAGTACCATATTTTAACGTCTTTTGGTATGACGCGGTCGGGGATCAAACCTGCTCTCCGGCGGATGCTCTAACCACTACACCACGGAGGCGGTTACACACCTGTGAGATACACTATAATACAGTGTCATGTACACCAAAACCTATGATTCACTCTGATACACCCCTGTACAAGAAGGTACACCCTGGTACACAGGCCTCACCTCTGTATCCTGTTGAGGAGTCTCTGCAGGTAGGAGTGAGACATAAGGAGACCCTGGCGGCAGCGGATCAGGTAGGAGATGTAGGCCGACCGGCTGCGGTACTCCTCCCGCAAGGCCTTCACCAGCTTCTTACAGCTGCAACATGACAATGGGTTGGTCACTCCAAGGTACACTGGCATGCCAAAGAATAGGGGTGACTATTGAGGGGAAACAACTATTGCGATAGCAATAGTCTATTGCAACATACTATTGCGACCAACTATTTTGTTTGGTCTCACTTGAAGTCATTTCCCAAATGAATGTATAGTTAATATGAAATAAAAACAAGCTGAAGTAATTTCAGTGTCTTTTGATAACTGACAAGAAGCTTGAAACCCAGATCAAGTAAACAGTCATGTTTGTTTAAGAGGTAACAGGGCGGATAACTCTAAATGAAAGTGAATGAATCTGGTACTTCCTGTATTTTGCGCTGCGCATCTATCAACAGAAGTCAATTACTAAACTATCGATAGTCTCACATACTATCGATGCATCAATGATTTTTTCGTTTCTACCATCGATTAATTGCTATCGGAGACTCAACAATTTCTATTCATCGATAGTTTGATGCATCGTTACAGCCCTACCAAGGAACATTTCAATTATTGCATTAGCTTTTTGTTCTGCAATCTACACACAATTAATAAGTCAGTTAGCCAGTGTATTGCAAAATGACTCAATCCAAATAAAATAGGTAGAGGGTTAAGCAGGAGAATCTTAATCTTCATGATATGGACAAGTCTGGAGTATACACACCCATCATTGTCAAACTGGCGTATACATCGTATAACTTCATGCAGCTGTGCAATGACATCCTTATTCTGGAGATTAATGGCTTCAGCAAGCTGAGCCCGGAGAAGGCTGATCAGGTCATTGTCCTTCTTGGGCCCGGTGTCAAACTCTCGAGGACTGTGTGGCTGGCTGGTCATCAACTGGTGCAGGGATGTGCTGCCCAGGAAGTCCCCAGCACTCAACACCATCCTCAGCTTCCGCTTCGCATCCATGAACGCGAAGCAGCCTTCCAAGTTGCTGGGGTCGTAGAACGGCGGACCTTCTTCCTCGTCCTTGCTCTTCATCTGACTCTGGTATGCAGAGTCGGTCAGCTCTGACTGGTCCTCAGCCTGCTGGTCTTGGGGAGTTTTCTTCCGGTATTTGTCCAGGATGTCGAAGGAGCTCTCTGTGGGTAAAACACAGCTTTCTGAGTTGCCATGTTAGAAATTATGAACATGAATACACTATGCCATTTAGAGAGTCAAATGTAACGTATGTTATTTTTGTGATTACATTTTCTCAGTAAAGTACACATTCTGCACTTTTGTTGGGTTGAGACCCATCCAGGATTCAAACCCACACCCTCTGAGTCAAGCACCTAATAGGAGCATACAAAGTGACCTCAACCCAACATAGCCACGGTGGCTGAGGGGATTAGACGGCTGACTTTGAGTGCTGGCGATTAGGTGGGATGGGACCCAAATAAGTACTAGAATCTGTACTTTACTGAGAAAGTGTTATCCCAAATATATCACATGTTACATATTTTTGTATAGAAATATGTAGTGGTAGGAAAACAAATATTGTAAAATGAGTTCCTGATGTAACAAAACATACTGTGTTGTCAAATTATCTCTTTAAGAAAGAGCGAAATTATGAGTGAGCGAGTAAGTTTACTTTTACGCCACTTTTAGCAATATTCCAGCAATATCACGGTGAGGGACACCAGAAACAGGCTTCACACATTGTATGCATGAGGGGAATCGAACCAGTGATGCGTACTGTTCAGATATCGTGACACCCACCTGCTTTTGGGTCCACTTCAGCTTCAGCCGCACCCTTCCCAGAATCCTCTGTGAAGGAACTGTCGCCTCCTGCTGAGAACACAATGTCACATCTGGAGGGAGTGAGTGAGTGAGTGAGTGAGTGAGTGAGTGAGTGAGTGAGTGAGTGAGTGAGTGAGTGAGTGAGTGAGTGAGTGAGGTTTTAGCAATATTCCAACAAGAACACTGTGGGATACACCGGGGTGGAGTGAGTGAGTGAGTGAGTGAGTGAGTGAGTGAGTGAGTGAGTGAGTGAGTGAGTGAGTGAGTGAGGTTTTAGCAATATTCCAACAAGAACACTGTGGGATACACCGGAAATGTGCTTCACACACATGGGCTTTCAAACAGGGTCTTCTGCATGACCAAGTGAATGCTTTACCCAGTACCCCATCGCTCATGACTCATCATTCAACACACAGAAAATAAAACCAGTACCTATTATCAGACTGCTTTCTTAACACATAACTGTTGAAATACTGAATAAAAAATGTACTGAGTAATCAATCTCAACATTTCTTGTTTGTTTTCTTTCACAATAATCTTTTTCTGTCAACGACGCTGATGATTGTCAAGTCTTGGCCAAACAAACCAGTGGTCGATATGATAAGCATATCCATGAAACAGGAATTTGATGACATGCAATCTACAAAGCCTTGATGCCTGACCACCCAATAATGGTGGGACCTATTATCCCCATGAAGGTGTATTATTTACTAACAGGCTCCTTCAGATGCCTGACGTGGAAGGCAGGAGATCAGCTGCCCAATATAACCACTCTCTTACCCAGAGTTCCATGCGACCAGCATAGTACCTCTGCCACAGGCCAGAAAGATGTGACAATTCGTCTACTTAAATCTACTTAAACTTCTTTGATGGAATGTGTTACTTTCACTGAGAAAATATCCAAAAAGGTGTAACACTATTTCAATTTGCGTTGCGATCCTTTGTTTACATAGGTTAAGAGGTTCCACATGTTGTCATCGAAGCCCCATGGAGAGCTAACGATGCAGTAACTTTGATGTAGCTTGCCTAAGATCAGTCTCTACTTACTTACGAATATGTGTGTTTGTTTACAAACAAGAGACGAGTCAGGCAAATTAGCCTGTGGCAGTGATGTTATGCTAAGTCATTACTGCCCCGGAGTGTACAATATAACACATGCAGGGTTCATACAGATTATCAGCCATCAAATGGGTTGTATGCGACCAGGGGCTGCAATTAAGTGGGGCTGTAAAGTTCTCCCAATTAGGGCCTTTTTAGGGCCTTTCAAGGCCCAGTCAACAATATCAAGGAACCATAGACACACATAATGACATACACCACATAAGTAGTTGAATACACACAAGGTTGGTCAAATGTGGGATCAACGAACATCGCAGGGAAATAACTCTTAGTTACATCGCTGCACTAGGAAAGTTATGTTTCACGATGGAGATTAAATAACACCTAATGTCATTTTTATTAGTTTCCTGGGGCAAATCACGAATGTAGGGTCTTAGGGCAATTCACTGGTAATTAGAGACTTTTCAAGGTAAATTAGTGGCCTTTACAAGGTTAACACGAATGTAGGGCCTTTTGGGGCAAATCACTGGTAATTAGAGCCTTTTCAAGGTAAATCAGTGGCAATTTGGGCCTTTACAAGGTTAACACGAATGTTGGGAACGGCGGAATAAGAATTACGGCCTTTTCAGGGTAATAAGTCAAGATTTTGGGCTTTTTCAAGCCTGTGTGAACCCTGACATGAGTGGTCCATGACTGCTGCATACTCACCACCTAATTCCTTATCTGTCTTCAGAGTTCTTCTTTTGATGCCTGAAAGGGTTCATTACATAATCATAATCATGGAATTTCTAATATTCAGAAAGCATCAACAAAAACAAAATGATCCTCATCTTAATTTCAACCCTGGCACTGTAACAACATGCAAATACTGTTGATGTGAACTTAGCACAATCTATACTACCCATCAAAAGTTTAGATACACTAGTGTAAATGTAGCCACTTACTTCAGTCAACTGTTCTAAACTAGATTTTGCAAAAAATTCCATACTGTTTAAAGCTACTGTTTACACATGAACTGATATATTGTAAAACAAAGTCGTAACGTTGAAAAGATTATTGTCATAAGATCAATAAATGATGAAACTCAGTGAAAATGTTTCGAATTCTTAACGCAACTTTACATCAAAACGCAGCTGTTCACATGCCCGATGTTTGCACATGCTTTTCAGCAAATTTGATGCTTGATCCTCCTGCAGTTCATCTGCATAAGGTTTGCAGTTGGTTCCCCCAAGTTAGTGGAGAAATTCATCTTCGATGTAGCCACATATATATATACATAACTTATAGTGAGTACTTTAAGTGAGTCTAAACTTTTGATGGGTAGTATATATAGAGTGAGTGAGTGAGTTTAGTTTTACGCCACACTCAGCAATATTCCAGCTATATGGCGGCGGTCTGTAAATAATCCAGTGATCAACAGCATGAGCATCGATCTATGCAATTGAGATATGAAGACACGTGTCAATCAAGTCAGCGAGCCTGACGACCCGATCCTGTTAGTCGTCTCTCACGACAAGCATAGGTTACTGAAGATCAATTCTAGCCCGGTCAAGCTATCTAGACACTTCAGTCAGCGAGCCTGACCAGTCAGCGACAAGCCTGACCTAGCCCGGTCAAGATCCTGTTAGCCTGACCACCGATCCTGTTAGTCTCACGACAAGCATAGGTTACTGAAGATCAATTCTAGCCCGGTCAAGCTATCTAGACACTCTTCAGTCAGACCAGATCCTGTTGACCCACAAGATCCTGTTAGTGAAGATCAATTCTAGCCCTCAAGCACGACAAGCATAGGTTACTGAAGATCAATTCTAGCCCGGTCAAGCTATCTAGACACTTCAGTCAGTAACTAGACCTTGCGAACTTACTATGTTTTTATGACACTTTCAATATTCCAACAGGTGACACACCAAATGGGCCCATGTTGGGAATCAAACCCCGATCTTCGACGGGCTGAGCGAACAGTTAAACCACTAGGCTATCCCCGGCTTTAGATCAAAGAGTAACTACTGGGTGGAAATTATTGTTCCAAGTAATAGAGGGCAGTAGGGCAGTGTAAAAAGCGTAAAACCATACTCACTCACTCCTGAGCATTAACAAACATAGAGGGTACATCAACCCATGTCCCCCTCATGACCAGTGAACAACTGATATCAATACCCTCCAATACACATACCTTTTCCATGACCCCACTCTAATATTAGGGATGGGAGGTAATACCGGTTAACCGGTATATTGCAATTCGAACTCACTATACGATATATTGCGGTACACTTTTTGCAAACCGGTTCACCCGATAACGATCGGCAATTTCAGTGACCATGATCGGTAATTTTCATGAAGTAGTCAAAATACTAATAACCTTTGTATTTCCTTTTTATTATTATACATTAATAGTTTTGAGAAAGTTTATTGGTCATATAATTGGTTTTCCATGACATTTAAACCATATAAATAAAATACATAGATTGGTATCAGCACTCGTTGTATTGATAAACAAACCAGAATGGCGGACGCCACTGCAGACGCTTTTTCTCCAGTTCAAAACTTTAGAGCAAAATCTTCAATTTCAAAACATTTACAATTAATCTCTTGTACAATCACATCTGAGTCCTGACAGTGGCCAGTGGCCAGTGGCATTGTTTCAAAAGAAAGGAAACAGTAATTTCATTACCTTTAACATCTGTTACACTTTCACACTATATGGCAATACATATTGCAATATGCTGACACATATCACAATATATCGCAATACGAAAAGTTTGGCAATACCCAACCCTATCTAATATATACAGATTTTCTTTCTTATTTGAAAAAATAGAACAGAGTCACATTTTCCTACCCTTTCCCTATTCTAGAGTCTTTAGACCAACCTGATCAGTTCAACCCTACCCTGTTAACCACGAAGGCTACCACTTGTCTACACTGTACCTTTGTGTATCTTCTCCTTTACACTCTTAAAGAACCCCTTCTTGTTGATCTTATCAAAGCCTTTCTCATCATTTTCAGAAAAATCCTGAAACAAAGAGAATATAACAATTCAAAATATGAAATATAACCTTTTTTGAAAGATAATATGACCGATAATTTTTCATACATATTTTATCAACATTTATTTCTCAGTTCAACAAACACAGGTTACGTGCACCTATCTGAACCTAGAATCCCCGCATCCAGATATATCCCATCCAGTAGTGACAAGTAATGTCAGTTAAATTTAATCTGTAATATCGTTAAATATTGACAATACTGTCCTTCTGAAAATGATCATAATGATTGGTTGAGTAATAATAAAGGCTGCAACGAATACACTAGTGCTGGAAGATTATATGTTTTACGAAAATATAGTAATGAATATGAATATTATTCATGAATACATGATGGTTATTAACTAGGAATAAAAATAACATGTTATAACACTGAAACACGCGAGAGAGAGAGAGAGAGAGAGAGAGAGAGAGAGAGAGAGAGAGAGAGAGAGAGAGAGAGAGAGAGAGAGAGAGAGAGAGAGAGAGAGAGATGTGGTGATGAGAGGGGGGTAGAAGAAAAGGAGGAAGAGGAAAGGGGTGGGGGGAGAGATTCTGTTTAGGCTGTTTGCCTAAAGAGGGGTTACCATATTAATATTTATCCAGTTTTATATCATAAATCTACGTTTAAGTAAAGTTTTGAATTTTTGTGATCCTTATCAAAGTCTGAGTAGTATATAACAGATACCTATATGTTATTTCTTGTTCAGCCCATATCGTACCTTATCGTCTGATCTCATCGATACATTGTCCCCATTGGATCTCATGGAGAGCGTGTCCACACTTGCTTCTTTGCTGGAGCTAGCTGTATCATTGAGTCTCAGGGAGGCTGCGGAATGACTGCTATCGCTGCTGTCCCGACGTCCCCCACGCAAGTCCTCCTGGCTCGTTGACTTCACCGTCTCTGCCGAACTCTGCAGCTGACCTTGAACTTCATCACTACTGGATACCGAGATGAGAATTTCACTGGTTGCCCTCTGAGCTGATGGAGCTGTGGGTACAGGGAATATCTGGGTGGCAGAAAATGAGGGTGGGGCTGACATGCGGGAGGGCAGGCTGCAGCTGGGAGGGTGGTGACAGGGTGCTCTGACAATCCCCCTGCCCCCTCCAGCAGGTCGCCTGTACTGCTGTTCTCGGGTGACAGTGGATCAAAAAGACTGAGTGTCGCAGATAATCGGTTTTCATTGAATTTCACATTCTGCTGTTCAGACAGTCCTACAGCTTCGACTTGATCTGCCAGGCTGTTAACATCTACGGATATTTCTATACCCTCATCAATGTCCTGGTCGTTGATGGTGGTGGTCGTGGGCAGCTTTTGGGCGTTTACTGGTTTGCCCCCTGCACTTCGTGCCATTGATATACTCTCAAATTCTGCCCCAAATTTTGGTCCATCTTTGTTTCCGCCGATGCCATTACTTTTGGCCCAGGCCTCAACCTTGGCAGAGTTGTACCCTCCGTGAGCTCGGTTGTGGTGGTGATGGTGGTGACTACGTTTATGGAATTCTTTAGGTCTTGCTCCACAATGATGATCTTTTGGTAAAGAGAGGCTATCACTTTTTGACGTCACAGTTGCATTCTGGCGATGCTCAGACTCAGTGTTGCCTGTCCTGCCATGACTCTGCCTTGAGTCTGGAGATGTCCGATTCTGACCTTGACCTTCAGCCTTGACCTCTGGTTTTGGAAGTTTATCCGCTGCTGCAGCTTCCACTGTCTGATTAAGTTGAGATGTTTCAGCACTTGGAGTGATATCATCAGCAAAAACATCCTCTGAAAACACTTCCTCTGATCCTAGAGAGTCAGCCCTCTTTACAGAGTGTCCTTCTGCTCCAAACCCCAGCAGGTCTCGATCACCTGAAGGACTGTGTCCTCCTGCATAAACAAGTAGTGAGCAATAGTGAGCACTTTCAGCAATATTCCAGCAATATCATGGTGGGAGACACCAGAAATGGGCTTCACACATTGTACCCATGTGGGGAATCCAACCCGAGGCCTTTGGCGTGAATTAGCAAACACTTTAACCACCCCCACAAACAAGTAACCATGATGCAGCCTGATGTATGCAAATAAATAAGAATCAGAATAGTTTTAAGATAGCTGCAACAAAGGTTGATTGGTGTGGTGCCCTATTATTTTGAGACAGGTCTTTTGTTAGGGATTACAGGAGGCTTGGGAAAGCGTATACCCACTGTACTCAACAAAACAAAAATAGAACAGCAGTCCCACTAGTCAGTCAAGTAAGGTCAACTGAAAACATGATAGTTCTAAATTTAATGAAAATAATTTCCAGCCATTTTCAAACTTGTTCCATTTCTGATTTCTGATTGGTATTAAGCTGGATTGATTATTGACAGGAGACTTACCTGAAGCTAAGGGTGTGTCCTCCAGACTCTGGTCATCAAGGTTGTCTGATCGCTCCATCACAGAGCTCATACTGATGTCATCCTACGAATAAAATTACAGAGAGGGGTTCATAACAGTCACCTGTTAACTGTTTCATTCCATTTCTAATACATTTATTTTTAAAATGTTGTTCCCTCCAATGACTGCTACCACAGACTAAAACTACTACGTTCCTTACAACAACTTTCATCAGGCTTGGAGAACTGTGTTCCTGACAACTACTGCCATCATATACTAGTGGTACTTTGTTTCTTAGAAATACTGCTAACATAACACAAGATAGAAAAAACAAGTGTGTACACTGGCTATAAGTACTATGTTCCACACAACAATGGCTAACACAGGATGTTTTCCTAAAAACTACTTTCAACTCAAGCTACAAGCACTATGCCCATAACAATTACTAGTACCTGATCCAGGTCTGTCAACAGTTCCGACTGTTTCTCATCCGTGTCACTGGCCAGGACGTCTGTGCTCCATGCATCGCTCGCAGTCTCAGACATCTCAGACAAACTTGGGGGCTGGTGGAAGAGAACAGATGTTAGTCCTCTCCAGCCATTTACATAGCAGTCGTACACATTAAGGGGATCCTGGGGTCATTCGGACTAGCTATTCTCGAAATGTTCATAGCCCTACGAACTTCTTAAGCCCACTCTTAACACATTGGCTACGATCAAAGTTAAGAATTCTTAGGGCTGTGAATGTTTCGAGTATAAGGGCCCTGGTTTGCAGCTTCAGAGTTGTTATCTGATCTACATTTTAAACTTATAACATTGGGCCACAACTAACGTAATAGGGCCTGTAAGTAGGTCACAGCACTTTGCGAGACCTTAGTACTTCCAGTGACAAACATTTCATATCTTTTGGAATCGTCTCATGGTTTGTCAGTTGACAGTAATGAACCGATAATCCTTGCAGGATTGAACCGATAATCCTTGCAGGATTAACAAATTTCCGATCTAACCATCCCCTTTGCCAACTACTATCACTGTGACAGCCAAGCATGGTTGTACACTTGGTTCGGTCTAGTAAAGTCATATTTAGCAGTTGTGCAATTTGGAACCAGTTCTTGAATAAATCCTTTTCAACTTAAATCTTGTACTGGAAGTAAGCTGGGCCCCGTCTCGCATATTGCAAGTTGGCGCTGGCAAAGGAAGCCGGGAACCAGTTTAGTACTAGAAGTAGTCCCTCGTGAGACTTACAGGCCCTATATGATACACATCATGACCACTGGGTAACGAATATGAATATTAGGTAACAAATACAATAACAAGCCAGCAATTGATGCATTGTTCAAAATATGCAGTGAAACAATAACAAAATACATTATTGAACGTTTTGACATGTTGACAGTTTTAATCTATCAGGAAAAATTACCAGGAACCACATTACTGTCAAACTAAATATATAAGAGAGTTGACTGTTATCTATATGTCTATATATTGATTTTACAAAATGTCATTGTGATAAATAACATCCAAATTTAAGCAAAAACACTTCTAAAAGGTTCATGAATATTTGATTTTTGTAATCACTAATAATGAATTGAATTCAGAAAGGGATATGGCTTGATGCACTGAATCCAAGTGAATCACAACAGCCCATGTATACAAAGATTAACAGACTTTTTAGCCAAATTCTGCATACTTAACTGCTAAGCATGTGTTAATTGCTTAAATGTAAAAATATCTGTAGTAATATTGTAATTACAGATCTTTTGATTGTCAGGTACTAGCTTTACTCTTTTCTTTTGTTAAGAATGAAAAAGATGTGATGCCAATCATCTTAAACTTTAAATATAGGGTGAGTGAGTGAGTTTAGTTTTACGCCATGTTTAGCAATAATCAAGCAATATCACGTCAGGAGACACCAGAAATGGGCTTTACACATTGTGGGGAGTCGAACCCGGGTCTTCGGCGTAATGAGCGAACGCTTTAACCACTAGGCTACCCTACCGCCCCTTAACATAAGGTACTGACTGAGACCTCAATGACTTTCAATATTCCATTGTGTTTACAAAAGACTCATGCTGTTACTCACAAATGCATTATCTGAGTCTGCGTCTCGTGGAGCTAACAGGAACGGCGGCGGCCTCCCCATCTCCTCTGCAACTTCCTCTAGTCGTTCTAGCTGGTTCTGCTCTGGAGGTTCTGAGTCACTTGCCAGAACATCCGTGCTCCAGGTGTCACTCACTGTTGACTTGGTTTCGTCCCCTGTGAGAATAGTAACAAAATTGATGTCATTCATAAACATACATGGCGGGTGAGTATTGTTTTATGCCACTCTCTGCTCATCAGGGGACACCAGATATGAGCTTCACATAGTGTACCCATGCTGGGAATTGAACCCAGGTCTTTGGTGTAATGGTTGTTGTTTGGTTTGATATTTAATACCACGCTCAGCAATACTCCAGCTATATGGCGGCGGTTTGTAAATAATTGAGTCTGGACTAGACAATCCAATGATCAACAGCATGAGCATCAATATACGCACTTGGGATACCTTGACATGTGTCAGTGAGCCTGACCACCCAAACCCGTTACTCACCTTTTAGAACAAGCATGGGTTGCTGAAGACCAATTTTAACCTGGATCTTCACGAGTTTGGTGTAACGAGTGAACGGTTTGGTGAGGTGAGGTGAGGTGAGGTGAGGTAAAGTGCGGTTTAACATCATACTTGAGAACATTTTGTTCATATCACCACATGGGTGTGTATGTGTAGCTGCTTGTACTAGTCCAGACTTAAGCTGGTTTTATAGTGCTAGCTCACTGAGATACCATGCCGCAGTTATGCATGAATAGTGAGTGAGTGAGTGAGTGAGGTTAGATTTACGACACACTCTGCAATATTCCAGCTATAAAATAATCGAGTCTGAACCAGACAATCCAGTGACCAACGGCATGAGCACCGATCTGCGCAATTGGGAAACAATGATATGTGTCAACCAAGTCGGTGAGCCTGACCACCCGATCCCGTTAGTAGCCTCTTACGACAAGCATGGGTTACTGAAGATCAATTCTAACTCAGACCCTCATGGGTAAGGGTACCCCCTCTTTTGGTGGAGACATTTATACTGACTTGTTGTATGCATTAAAGCCGAGCGCCAGGCAGGGACCAACACGTACCATATTTTAACATCTTTTGGTATGACACCCCGGGGGATCAAACCCACGACCTTCTGCTCTCGTGGCAGACGCTCTAACCAGTACACCACGGAGTCAATGAATGCTTTGGTGTAATGAGTGAACACTTTAAGGTCTGGGCTACCTGACCATATAATATACACAAGACAAATGTGAATGAGCTGGATGTTATGCTGCTTGTAGTAATATTTCAGCAATATCACTGCGGGGACACCAGAAATGGGCTTTACACGCTGTATCCATGTGGGGAATCGAACCCAGGTCTTTGATGTGATGAGTAAATGCTTTAACCACTTGGCCACTCACTTCCCAAATATACACAAGACCAGAAAAGGGTGATCCAAGCTATTATTCAGTTATCTTGAGTGAATGAGTGAGTGAGTTTAGTTTTACGCAGCTTTTAGCAATATTCCAGTAACATCAAGGCAGGGGACACCAGAAATGGGCTTAACACATTGTGCCCATGTGGGGAATCGAACCCGGTCTTCAGCGTGATGAGCAAACGCCTTAACCACTAGGTCTGAAAATCATGATGATCGACATTGGTTCTGAATCTCTCCAACTCTCTGTATCCCATTTGCATAGACCAATGCTCATACTGTTGCTCACTGGATAGACTCCATCATTTACAGCCCACAGCCACAAAGCTAGAATATGGCGTTTACCGACACACAAACAAACAATCTCAAACTCACTTTCCAGTTCGGCCTTGATTTCAAACTTGCCAAATCTCTCCGTCACATCCACCCTGTTCTGCTTCTGTACAGTTTCTGGGACAGGGACTGCAAACTCAGCAGGTGCTCTCTCCTCCACACTCCCTGCCTGGGAGAGGGGTGTATCACGCCCGCTGATGCTCGGAGACCCACGGCCACTCACATCGGCGGACATCATGTCGGAAAGATTGTCGTTGTCGTTCTCCATATCCACGGAATGGCTGGATGCTGCCTCGGATATGGCTTCCTGATAGTCGCTGGTATTGCCTGCAGAAACTTATAGCTCTCACCATCACAACATATTTTCAGCAAGAAAAGAATGCTAAACACAATAAAACATATGAAACAAAAATAAAACAAAATACTACAATGATTCTAATAACTATAACATGTATCTGAATACATCATAATTCCTCTCAGTGAAGGATCTTTAAACAAGGCCTTAAGAAGTTATATATAATCTAGGCAGCCCTAAGATATTCCATTCTGCACATGAGGGTTAAAACAAGCTATAATGGCTTCCATTCTTACTTAGAAATTCACAAAGCAATCAATCAACTGGTTGATAGTATGAGCTGCAGTCTACACAGTTGAAAGTCAATAACAACATGACCCCATGTTAGTGAATTTTGTATTCACATACAATGTATTCCCACTTCAGATTGTACCTCATTGACGAAGCTCTTATGTCATATTTCCTAGTCATATCAAGGGTGTCAGATCAAGGATGTGCCCTCATCATTCTTTCCACCAGTAAGATATGAGTGTATTATGACATATTCCCCTTGTCATATGAAGAGTGCACTAACATATTTCCCTAGACATATCAAGGGTGTGCCCTCATTATTCTTTCCACCAGTAAGATATGAGTGTATTATGACATATTCCCCTTGTCATATGAAGAGTGCACTAACATATTTCCCTAGTCATATCAAGGGTGTGCCCTCATCATTCTTTCCACCAGTAAGATATGAGTGTATTATGACATATTCCCCTTGTCATATGAAGAGTGCACTAACATATTTCCCTAGTCATATCAAGGATGTGCCCTCATCATTCTTTCCACCAGTAAGATATGAGTGTATTATGACATATTCCCCTTGTCATATGAAGAGTGCACTAACATATTTCCCTAGTCATATCAAGGATGTGCCCTCATCATTCTTTCCACCAGTAAGATATGAGTGTATTATGACATATTCCCCTTGTCATATGAAGAGTGCACTAACATATTTCCCTAGTCATATCAAGGGTGTGCCCTCATCATTCTTTCCACCAGTAAGATATGAGTGTATTATGACATATTCCCCTTGTCATATGAAGAGTGCACTAACATATTTCCCTAGTCATATCAAGGGTGTGCCCTCATCATTCTTTCCACCAGTAAGATATGAGTGTATTATGACATATTACCCTTGTCATATGAAGAGTGCACTAACATATTTCCCTAGTCATATCAAGGATGTGCCCTCATCATTCTTTCCACCAGTAAGATATGAGTGTATTATGACATATTCCCCTTGTCATATGAAGAGTGCACTAACATATTTCCCTAGTCATATCAAGGATGTGCCCTCATTATTCTTTCCACCAGTAAGATATGAGTGTATTATGACATATTCCCCTTGTCATATGAAGAGTGCACTAACATATTTCCCTAGTCATATCAAGGATGTGCCCTCATCATTCTTTCCACCAGTAAGATATGAGTGTATTATGACATATTACCCTTGTCATATGAAGAGTGCACTAACAACATATTTCCACCTAGTATTATGACATATCAAGGAGTGTGCCCTCATCATTCTTTTTCCACCAGTAAGATATGAGTGTATTATGACATATTCCCCTTGTCATATATGAAGAGTGCACTAACATATTTCCCTAGTCATATCAAGGGTGTGCCCTCATCATTCTTTCCACCAGTAAGATATGAGTGTATTATGACATATTACCCTTGTCATATGAAGAGTGCACTAACATATTTCCCTAGTCATATCAAGGATGTGCCCTCATTATTCTTTCCACCAGTAAGATATGAGTGTATTATGACATATTACCCTTGTCATATGAAGAGTGCACTAACATATTTCCCTAGTCATATCAAGGGTGTGCCCTCATCATTCTTTCCACCAGTAAGATATGAGTGTATTATGACATATTCCCCTTGTCATATGAAGAGTGCACTAACATATTTCCCTAGTCATATCAAGGGTGTGCCCTCATCATTCTTTCCACCAGTAAGATATGAGTGTATTATGACATATTCCCCTTGTCATATGAAGAGTGCACTAACATAAATCCCTAGTCAGTTAGGGACAGCTTACTGATGTCATATTTCCCCAATCAATGTGCACTAACATCATACATCCCATCACAAAGAAGAGAGCACTAAACATTAGTGTAACATATATTTCCCCAGTCAGCATCCTATTTCCCCAGTCAGATAAAGAGAGCAATAACAACATATCTCCCAGTCAGATGCACTAACAGGATATTTCCCCAGTCAGATTAAGAGTGCACAAGCATCATATTTCCCCAGTCAGATAAAGAGAGCAATAACAACATATCTCCCAGTCAGATGCACTAACAGGATATTTCCCCAGTCAAATTAAGAGTGCACAAGCATCATATTTCCCCAGTCAGATAAAGAGCATAATAACAATATTTCTAGTCAGTCAGAGCAATAACAGTCAATAAGAGTGCATCATATTCCCAGTCAGATGCAATAACAACATATTTCCCAGTCAGATGATATTTCCCCAGTCAAATTAAGAGTGCACAAGCATCATATTTCAGTCAGATAAAGAGTGCATAACAACATATCTCCCACATGCATAACAGAAGATAGAGCTAAATAAGAGTGCACAACATCACATTTCCCCAGTCAGATAAAGAGAGCAATAACAACATATCTCCCAGTCAGATGCACTAACAGGATATTTCCCCAGTCAAATTAAGAGTGCACAAGCATCATATTTCCCCAGTCAGATAAAGAGAGCAATAACAACATATCTCCCAGTCAGATGCACTAACAGGATATTTCCCCAGTCAAATTAAGAGTGCACAAGCATCATATTTCCCCAGTCAGATAAAGAGAGCAATAACAACATATCTCCCAGTCAGATGCACTAACAGGATATTTCCCCAGTCAAATTAAGAGTGCACAAGCATCATATTTCCCCAGTCAGATAAAGAGAGCAATAACAACATATCTCCCAGTCAGATGCACTAACAGGATATTTCCCCAGTCAAATTAAGAGTGCACAAGCATCATATTTCCCCAGTCAGATAAAGAGAGCAATAACAACATATCTCCCAGTCAGATCACATCCCCAAAGAGAGCACAAGCAACATATTTCCCCAGTCAGATAAAGAGAGCAATAACATATCTCCCAGTCAGATGCACTAACAGGATATTTCCCCAGTCAGATTAAGAGTGCAAAAGCATCATATTTCCCCAGTCACATATAGAGAGCACTAACAACATATTTCCCCAGTCACATAAAGAGAGCAATAACAACATATTTCCCCAGTCACATAAAGAGAGCACTATCAAGATATTTCCCCAGTCAAAGAGTGTCCTAACATGTTATTCCCTCCTGAACACTCACTCCCCTAACATGCTAGTATAAAAATGAGTCAGTGAGTGAGTTTAGTTTTATGACGCTTTTAGCAATATTCCAGCAATAACACAGCGGTGGACCTCAGAAATGGACTTCACACATTGTACCCTTGTGGGGAATTGAACCTGGGTCTTCAGTGTGATGAGCAAAAGCTTTAACCACAAGGCTATCCCACCACCCAGCTAGCATAAAGTGAAAGCTGTAGTTTTACAAGCTTACCTATGGATTCCTGGTCGTGTGAGAGAGAGAAACGCGTCCTCTTCTCATGGATCTCAATAGGGCCACCATCACTGATATCGGTGTTGTATTTCACCTTTCTACGACGATTCTCCTGCTCCCATGACAAAATCTGCAAAAAACGGGATTAAAGAATTGATTTCAATATTTTTGCGATTATGGAGATAAATACATTATAAAAGACAATGCTCACACTGAAATTTCACAAAGCACAAGGTGTTTTTACATTTATCATTCCTTAAACATACTAAAGTCAGTTCTTGTAAATATATATCAACAGCAATATAACAGACTGATTATTAACACAAAACTAACAGTTGACAATAATGGGCAATCAATGGCAGACCTCAAGTACAATACTGCAAACAAGACCCACCCCTTTTTCATCTTCAGGAAACAACAGTTCATTAGTAGGTGTGGTATATTATATTATTGGTTTATGGAAACAAACACAAATAAAAATTGTTGGTTAGCCAATAAAATGCCAAAGAACCACATGCAATTTGTTTATTAACGATTAAACAAATTCTAAATGTCACTAATTTGTATTACTTTCATACTGTAGTGAGTGAGTATAGTTTTATGCCACCTGTAGCAGTAATCCAGCAATATCATGGCTGGGGACACCAGAAATGGGCTCCACACATTGTACCCATGTGGGGAATCGGCATGACGACTGAACGCTTTAACCACTAGTACCGCACCTTTTCATAACGTAAACAAAACCTGGAATTACTGACATCCTTCCAGTGATGGTATTTCCTAATGTTAACACAATGGCCACAGCTTTAATACAGTGATAAATCTACAAATTCAACTGCCCGAGTCCCGGGACTCACTGAGCTGAATAACTATGAGTCCCTCAGAACTTTTATGAGTCCTTAACAAAAATTAATGCCACAAATATTATTCAAACTGGTTTATTGTTACTATAGGTTGCACAGGTGAGTAAGACTTTGGTCTTGGGTTTTTTACAGAACAGAGCTGGTAGTACCTAAATCGCAACAAATGGAGACTCTTCCATTTTAACTTGTAATTCATACCCTATCACATCAGACACAGATGTAAACAGATCACTGGCAGTGGTTGGAGAATCATAGTTGATTTTACCTTCCTTGAGAATTTCAATGTCTTCGTTTTCAAATTCATATAAAAAGTCAACAAAAGCGTTTAAACTTTGTCAGTGGGATGTTTTCACAAGCTAACCAATGAACAGATTTCATCAAAGTGACATCTGCTTTGTCTTGTTTTTCATACATACGTGCAGTTGCAACCTGGGAATCATCACAAAGTTTTGGAGCCTGAACGAGGAGAGTTTATTATCATTATGATAAGATGTCTGGTCAAAGTTATATTTTTAAAATTTCTGCATTTAGCATCTTGTGTCATACCATTTTCAGTACATAGTTTACAAAATATTAAATCACCTTTCCTGTCATAAGTCAGCCATAACCGGTGATTATTCGCCAACCTGACTGAAATGTCCTAACTTTGTGTTTTCTGACAGTATCAATCTGGGTGGCATGTGGACTGCTATATTATAAAAATAACAGCAGGGCTCTTCATGACCTTTGACAAGCAAATGTTTTTTTAACTAGAAAAATAAAAGGTTACTAGCCAGACCCATGTAATTTCACTGTAATATTTTGTGAATAAAGTTCTACAATTCCAACTGAAGTTTTGCTTTATTTCTTCACTCTGTTCAGTGATCCAAAAACAAATTACATCAAAAGAAATATGCCAACTGGAAGCCACTTTAACAAGTATGAACACAAATAGTAACTGTCTTACTTTAACTATTAACATTGAACGAATTATATCATAAATGTCATCATAATTATAAATGAAATGATTCATTTATATGATTACTTTTCCAGGACTTGAGATTCAGAACCTTAAACAACAGAATGACATTCTATTTCAGCAGAACTTTAACTCTGTCAAATGTCACTTTCACTTTCAAATTACATGCAGATAGATTTAACAGTTGTTCAGCTACTGACTAAAGCTGCCTGCTTTTCTCTAACTGGTACTGAGAGCTCAGATTTTGTCTTCACACTTGGATTCAGTCACAATGTTCATTGACCAATCAGTTTGTCTTGATAAACCTCATTTGCATATCGCTTACCTCCATTAGCTTGTTTGTGTCTATTTATAGAGTGTAAAACTAGGTTAGTAGTTTTGCACATGCTCGAGCAATGAATCTTGGGATCTCATTTGCATACCGCTTACCTCCCTTTGTGTGACCTAGATGTCTATTTTTGGAAACGCGGAAATGAACTTAATATCATGACGAATGAAAGCTGCGATCGTTTTAAAAATAATGTGTACTTATTAGCTGTTAATTATTTGAGAATGGGGGAAGTTAATCTACGAAGATTTAGCCATGTTTACTTTGATATTGCCTCTCCACAAAAATAAACATTAGTGTTTCATCAAAAGCTTGCGTCCAGGAGGACGCTCATGTAAAAAAAATATGAGTCCTGTCAGAATTTATTGCGTCAGAGACGCGGGACGCGGGGGTAGATTTATCCCTGTTTAATACCTTATTTTCTGCCATCATCCCTGGACAATCAGTTCCCACACCAAGGGAGATAACCAAGATGTCCTCGATTGGCTCTCCTGTCTTCGAGTCTCCATCTGTTGCTTCCCCATCCTCGGCAGACACCTGTAGATTCGGTAGAGAATTCTTCTTCTTCAAACCTGCAGAGCCAAACAAAACTCCTTTTACACATGAACAATCTCTCTTCTTCCAACACACAATTTAGTTTGAAAAAACTAAGACCTGTGACCGTCCTTAATCATGCGATCTTGTTCACACTGACCAGACATTAGGCATTACAAACTTTCAAAATCATGGATCCACCTCAAACTGGTGGAAGAATTTATGAAAGTGGAGGAAATACAAAGATATATTTCACAAAATCAATCAGATACAATCATATCTTTTTTATTGTGAAGCATGGCAATCGGCAATATTTTCAGTAGTGAGTGAGTGACTTTAGTTTTTTTCCACTTTTGGCAATATTCCAGAATTATCATGGCAGGGAACACCAGAAAAGGGCTTCACACATTGTAAGCATGTGGGAAATCGAAACCGGGTCCTCGGCATGACGAGCGAACGCTTTAACCCCCAGGCTACCCCACCCGCCCCATATTTTCAGTAATACCAACAGGCCAGGAAAAGATTAAAGGCACACCAGAAGTTGATATTACCAGTGAAGTTCCAGGATAGAACAGCTCTTAGGCAATGCCTGTTGTAAGAGGCGACTAACAGGATTGGGCAGTCTAGACTTGCCACATTTTCTAAACTTGCATGGACTTTCTTCAATGTAATTTTTCAGGGTCTGTATGACAGACTAAAGCAGGTGATACAGATGGCCTTACCTCTGAAGATCTTCTTCTGATTGTTGGGAGTGCCAGGAGGGGTAGGGTTTAGAGGAGTGGGTCCGTGAGCTGACAGGTGGTTGTCATGACCTTGACCTTGTGGCATATCGGATGGCAAACACACAAGCAGCTCCTGCAGTGTTTTGCGACCAGGTACTTTGTCATCGATGCCAGCGCTGGTATTCCGCAAACAGTTCACCTGAAGACAGCAACAACAGTGAGTGAGTGAGTGAGTGAGTGAGTGAGTGGTGCGTTAGTGGGTGGGTGGGTGGGTGGGTGAGAGTGAGAGAGAGAGAGAGAGAGAGAGAGTGTGGTTTTATGCCACTTTTAATAATAAACCAGCCATATCACCTCGGGGGACACCAGAAATAGGCTTCACACGCTGGGAATCGAACCCAGGACTTCAGTGTGACAAGCAAACACCAAACAGTTACCCCATCACCTGAACAGTTATAATGAAGGATGAAGTCACAAAGAAGAAAACAGATCAGACACAATTTATTTGAATGTAATTTGAAGCAAACATAATCACGAGACCACCCCACCATCCCCAAACATTTAGAAAAATGGTAAAGAAGACACAGTGATTCTCTTACCAGTAGGTTCAGCTGAGGGTGTGTGAGGAGCACGGTGGAGCGGGCAGCACTCTGGAACTGACTGATCCCCATGATGGGGACCTCATCGCCCACCCCATCCACCAGGCAGTCCAGAAACGACGACATGCATCCCTGGGGAAGTAAACAGAATATCAGTTGGTATATATATGACATATCCTACACCATGTGAATTTGTCTTGACACAGGGAAATGTATAAGTTGTATCGAGGCTATCAGTCATATGTTATGGTATATAAATGACATACTCTATCTACATCATGGACACTGACAGGGAAATCAGTTGTTGGAATGCTTCACATATCCTACATCGTTTCATGGGGAAAGTCTAGACACAGTGAAATAACTGTCATATCAGCTGTAGGAATACAGGTGAGTGAGTGAGTGAGTGAGTGAGTGAGTGAGTGAGTGAGTGAGTGAGTGAGTGAGTGAGTGAGTGAGTGAGTGAGTGAGTGAGTGAGTGAGTGAGTGAGTGAGTGAGTGAGTGAGTGAGTGAGTGAGTGAGTTTAGTGTTATGCCTCTTTTAGCAATATTCCAACAACAAAACTTTTTTGTTTTAGAATCATTTTTGAAGAAATAATAAATGGTTTGCTCCAGAAAAGAGCAGCAATTTCAGTCGAAGTCAAACTAGTTGCCATGAAAATGCAAAAAAAAATATTTTATTCAGAACTCCAAAAATACCACAAGGCATCAGTTCACCACCATCTATAGATGGACAGAGTCCATTTTAATACCTCTGGAAAACGTGTTGTTTGATTGGTATTCTAGAAGTTGGCGAGTATATTACAGAGCATACACATGATCAGGATGATACAACTTCATGGATATCAACTTTTTGTTCATTGCATTGAGCAACATCTAAGATCTTGATGTAGATTTAGATTCTAGCACAGATATTTAGCACTGTTAGCTTGATAATGGTTTAAGAACTTACATCTAAATGTTGCCCAATGCGATAAGCAAGCAGTTGTTATCCATAAAGTCATATGCCTGATTATATCCTGATTATATCCTGTTTCACTGGAATAGTCTTTGACTAACATCTAGTCTCCGTAATGAACACATGTTAATGAATGTCCGATCCTACTAGTAGAGATTGCAATCGTAGTCTCTACTGGTAGAGACTCCGATTATATGGAATAACCTATGCAAGCAATTTGGCAGCTTGGTCTCATGATGTAAATACAGCATTACAAACCATTTTTATTTTTAATTTTGATATTGTTTACAGTGAGGTATTAAATGTTTGTTATCAAAGTCTCAGTTAAAAGTAGGAAGTTCATTCATATGTATTTCACCCATCAACAACTAACGTGTGCCAAAATAAAGTTTAGTACTTATGATTATGCAGTGTTTGCCATGACGCAGAAAACCTGTGTATTTGTCTCACAAATTATCTCAAATACGCAGTGAATTTATAAGCTCGCGTCATTGTTGAGGCAATGCTCGACCTGGGCTGTTAGTTCAGATAACTTTACTTTAGTTTAAGTTTGAGTACATATTGTAATTTATTGTTGTTTAAAACTACTAAGTTTAATGTTTGCCAGTTAACTGCTCAGTGCTGATTAAATACCTGACCTGCCTTACTTGGACCTGTTGTTATTAAACAATAACAGTTGATCTCTTGATGAAAGAAGTTGACTCCCAAAAACATGTCCATGACTCCCTCTCATGACACCAGGGAGTCATGATGACTCCTAAATTTTTATGACTAGGGCAAACACTGATTATGCAATTGATCTTGCTTGTAATCAGTTTTGTAATACAGTCATCCCTCGCAATAACGCTCTTCGCGATACCGCGGATTCGGTTAAACCGCGGGGTAATCCGTGGCTCCCATAAAAAAAGTTGCCCAGTGATCACACATATTCACGTGATCGAAAATAGCACATCAACAAATCTGCTGTTGAGCTCTGGTTAATCACGTATTAAACTAGTGAAATTCAGTGCGGATTGCAATTAACAGTGTTTATCGTATATATCCATGTTTTTTCAGATGCTTAAAACATGCAGGGTCTTTTTCAATAATAATTGATAAACAGCGAAACATCGTAATAACTTTATCTTAAAGACATGTCGATTATCAGCCGAGTACTTACAACGTTTGCTATGATGCAACACACCGCGTAATTGCGCGGGAATACACCGCCATCAGAGAATGTATGATGTCAGAAAACACATTTTATTTGATTAAATTCAATCCCATTTTCATTTATTAAAACTGCTTACAATAACAACGGAGAAACATGAGTGAAATGGCATTACCTCATTCCATACAACACCCGCTTACCACATTCTTGACCCCAAAACCCGCATTATTGACTCGTTGAAGTCATATTTGACAATTAATTGCCAACATTTTGTTTTTACAATCAAAGTGGCACGTACCGCGGGAAGTCAGCGGTGACTTGTCAAACTGTCTCCTACGTAAAATGTATCCAGCCAGATAACCCAAAGTGCTTAGCAATGCTTGTTATTATGTTAAATATGTTCGTAGAAAACATGCATTATACTTATACGATAGCAATATATAAGATCTCTGTTAGAGTAACTGCTTGACATATCAATTATTCTGATAATGGAATAGAAATTCCTGGTTGTTATATTTTCGGATCGCTTTTAAATGAATCACGGTACATTGGACCAAAACATCGTATGTGCGCTTCCAGCTGATTGCTATTCCGGTTTAGTTGAATAACAGGTAGCATGACAGGAACAACAATTGAATTATCATGTCTTGTGGTGTTTGATTACCAAAGTTTCATGTACATATCACGTCTATTTTTATTTACAAACTTGTTACTTTTTTTCACTTCCAACAAAAGCGATATAGTTTTGACTGGACACAATAAGCTTAAATAGCAGTTTTGTTATGTCCATGGAAAATCACGATTTTACTTGGCCTTTGTTCACAAGTTATGTAATCAAGTTATATAACTGCTGGTGTCTAATAACGCTGGGGGTCATCCATGGACCCCAAGACCCGCTGATTATGGCGTAGGATGCCTGTATATGTATATGTTAGTAATATGATCTCTCAAGTCACATTTGTATTTATTATATATACACTTCTCAACTCTTGGGTGAAGTCACTTCTAGCTTGAAAATGGTGTTAGAATCTATACCAAAATGTCGCTTTTTGTAATAAACAAAAAGTTGTTATCTATAAAGTTGCATGCTTTATTACTGGCTCTCCAACTTCTAGAATGCTGATCAAACAACTAAAATATTTTATTCATCTGTATTGGTGAAAAAGTTTCAGAAACTAGAAATGACTGACACTGTAAACTAAATATTAAGTGGATGAAACTCACCTTCTCAAACCTTCCGTATAAATCCCGCAGCTTTGGATCAATCTCATCCCATTGTGAAATGGCAAGAACCTGGACGATCTGGGCCATCTGCATCAGGTTGTGTCGTGCGATGTGGCTGATTGGGACATCAGATGTGATACCATATGGCTCAGGATCACAAATAGCGGGACAAATAAATAGGGCAAAAATAAGATCAGCACACGTCGCCCGCACTTCTCCAGTAGAGAGTTTGTTCCCTTTAGTGAGGGTCTGAAACACCTGGGCCACAATCCAACTGATGCTAGCCGGGAAGCAGTGGATGTTGCTCTTGATGGAGTTGATGAACCGTGTACACAACAGCACTAACTTATCAACAATAAACTTACGGTAATTCTGAACTTTCAATTTGTAATCATCACTTCCTGGTTCACCAAACCTCTTCTGCCTCTCTTTTGGCGGAAAACGAACTAAAGCTTTATCTGGATCTATATCATAAAACCATTCGTCTTCCATCAAAAGTCTCATAACCGGGTCGTGAAGAGCGGCTGTGAGAAAGAGACGGGTCGAGAACAACATATCACTCAGCTGCTTGAAGATGAGGCTGAATGCACAGTTTCCTCGTCTGATCAGTCTTCTGGGGTTGTCGTGACCACCAAGCTGAACATCGATCAGCGTCTTTAGAAGCTGCAATACATGTTGCTCATCTTCTTGTACAACACAGTTCCCGTATATGGCTGACATGATACTACCAATGACTTTAGTGGTGGTTGTAATGTTCACCTTCTCTAGAGCACAGACACAGTGAGCCAGGAGTACTGGGTTTTCATGTAGATATTTAAACAAGTCGCCATACTTCGAATCATGATGTCCAAGAACCTTATAACTATCCTGAAAATTAACACTCTCGAGTTGATTGTTTTTGGCACAGATTTCCTCCGAAGGAACATCATGGCCCATAGCCTGCAGATGGTCTAAATTCAGTTTTTGTTGTCTAGAAATCCATGAAGCATGAAACAGGTCTTCACCAATTTTGCGAACTTCTTCGTACAGTTTTTGAAGCTGGTCCCTCTCCATGCCCACAAAGAGTTTCTCCTGTCGGAGGTGCTGCCCCAGCTCCAGAAGGTCGTGTAACACACTCATGGCTGCTGCTGTGGCTGCTGCTGGTACTATATCTGACAGGCAATCCAGACACTGCTAGTAGGGTAATTTAGTTATCACCCATCATCAAGTCAATTACTGTTCATGTTTCTGCAATCAAAGCAGAAAAATGATAAACGGAATAATGGGTTGTAAATTGTCCCAGAAAATGCTGCTGAAAAGAACCTCTAACTGTTCAAAACAAAACAATTGTCTGCCAAAATTCCTGAAAGGTTAATTTTGGGTTCTTTTAGGAAAATAATTCAGGCTTGTTCTGTGTTTTGAAGCTATAACTGAACAAAATATCAAGTCTCCATACAAATAGCCCCTAACAGAACATCAAGTTGCTAGTCCCTTAAGTTACCTTTAATCAGTGTGCAAAATAGCTGCTGGCCCGCTAGCCCATAGCTAGTAAAAATCCAGGTGGGCCAGTAAATCTCCATAGTCACTGGCCCGGCTGGCTAGTGAATTTACATGGCGTCATTTTGTAAATATATCACTTGCTAAGTTATAATACACTTTAAATCATGCAAACTTATGGCCTGATAAAAAATGTTTATCATATTTGCAGCTTAATGATGAAACCCTTGCCAAGCCTACTATAACTTATTCTCATCAATTTTTGTAATCTTTTGCCTAGCTTCTACATTCAAATTTGGGCAAGTGAATTATTTTGTGGGCTAGTAACTTTGAGGCATAGCTAGCCCGACTGGCTATCACAATTTGGAAACTATTTCACACACTGCCTTTAATATTAACAAAACTTCTTTAGGCAAGTACATCAGTCCTAATTTCTAACCCTGAAGCAAGTATCATATCTAAACTCAAACTTATTTACTTATAATCATAATAAAATGTTGTGTGTTTGAACAAGCCAGGAAGGTGAACTTTCTCATGAGATGAAATTTTGTGAGGGAAGCATTCAGGCCTGCATATCTGCTTTCAGTAAACAAGACTGAACCATCTTTTACTGAGTGTACACAAAGATCAATGAAATCTGTTCTATAATATTGCTCTGTTGCATTTACCATCAAATAAAAATACCATCAAAGGCACATAAGTGTTCTGAGGGGCTGAGATAAAAATCAAGATTTCAAAAATTGTGGTCGTACAGAAAACATTTCAGAAAGCTGACATATGGTATAAGAACCCACTCATCCTCCAGTTAGAATGTCACTCTTGATTCACTTACACAACCTGATAGGAAGGTTTCCTGAGAGACAAACATACAAAGGTATCAAAGCAAAAGATCAAATTTTAGAGTAGCTAGTTCTCAAACAACTTCATCCATGTATTAAAGGGTTATCATTCTTTTCCAAGAATTCATCAACATCATGATTCTGCTGACAGTAATATAGTGACACATTCCATCTAATGAAACACAAACTCATAAAAGTTGACATTTTCTGATCTGATTACACATTTATTCACCATTATTTCATACTACTGCATTTTGTAACTGTTCCAAAGTGTCTTAAACTCTACATTTCACAATTTGAAACAATAGAGATAAGTGTCACATAAAATTAGAAACGACAAAAACGTTAATATGTTGATAGATATAGAAATGTACACCTTCTGAAGCCGTTTGTCTCAAGTAACATCACTGCAACATAATCTGCTATCTTCAGTTAACTGCTAAATGTTGAAAGGATTTATTGCTGTTACTTCATGATATGTTATCCTACATCCCGCTATCTATAAAGCCCACTTAATATCATGCCATCACTGACATAACGGATTGTTTCGTCTTCTCAGCTTGATTAAGCCCTGGAACGCGGAATAACTAGAAAACACTAGAATAGTAATCGTTATGGCTTTGCAGTTCATTAAATGACATAGACTAGGCAGTAAGAATGGGTAAACACCTTGCTGACACTTTGTAAACAAACAGATAGAGCGGTACAATCACCAACACCAAAGGGGGAGGGGTGGAAATATGGTCAGAAGGCGTTTAGTCAACAAGTCAGATTATGGCGCAATATTGACAACTAACATATTTACTCATGGTTAATAAGATTGCAAAGAGCATGCATAGGGTGTAGATGTTCATGTAACCGCCAAAATAGCAACAAAATCCTTACAGTGCACTTTGAAATACTACGGACGTCGTCGTCCATTTTCGACTCTTATTTACTTCGATTTACGCATGCGCAACTTCATAATGGAGCTGTCAGTTTTTGAATTGTTTTGCAAAATTAAAAACTCCTTTCTTTTGATAACATCTACCTTTTTCCAGTACAATAAAAGCAAAACTCAATAATTAGTTTAGAAACTTTAATGTTTAAAATGTGTAGAGCGTAATGGCTTTGAAATTGGACATATATCCCATTGTACAAAGTGTACTCCCTCAACATACAAGAACGACAACTCTCGTTACCGTATGAGTCATCGCTGAGGCCCTTTATGGGTTTGCTTCTGAAAAGTTAACACGTGTAGTTGTTATTTTCTGCATAAACACACTCGTGAGTGTACTTATATGTACATGCTTATCAGAACACCAATGGCGAAAAGTATATCTTAGGATATATATATTGTTAACAGTTTTAGAGACGAAGAAAGTCGTCACATAATAAACATTTAATGAAATATAAGTATTGTTGATTGATGATATATTGTTTAGCCGTTGGGATTAAACAACACCCTTAAGCCGAAAGTATCTGCAACGCTTTTATAAAAATAAATGTTCATTTATTCTTTGCCAATACATTTTCAACGAGGCGCATGACGTCTGTATATTTGGGTGCCAAACACGTATCCCCTTTTTGCAAGATGTTTATCACTTTACATCATCACTACTAGTTTCAAGTCCTTCCACTATATTATATTTGAGCCATGTAACGACAACCCGTTCTACATCAAGGAACTGACATTGGGTGAGCATGGTTTTATGCCGCAATATCACGGAGGGCGACAATAGAAATAGCTAGGCTTCACATATTGTATCCCGTTGAGAATAGAACCCGTGTCTGCGGCGTTACTAGCAAGCGTTCTAACCACCAGGCTACTCCACCGCCCTTGGTGATGTACACTGTGATATATGCGTATCACAGCAAATACCAGAACAACACAACACGTCGCCTCATTCCTATAAGGGGATGTGTTTCAAATATAACTTGGTATCTAACCAACGTCAATTACGATGTTAACTGTCAACAAAACGGCGTTTAAATAATATGTTTCAAACTTGATCTCTGATGTAAACTCGTTTATTAGCGTTTATTGGGTAAAGGTAAAAATGTGTGACCGTTCATCGATCTTTTGGAGTTTCAGAGAACTCTCTTGAGAGTGTATGCGCTAACTTTTTGTTTGTTTGTTGTTTAACGCCGTATTCAGCAATATTCTAGCTATAACGGAATCGGTGGTCAGGCTCGCTGACAGGGTTGACACATGTCATCGTATCCCAATTGGGTATATCGATGCTCATGATGTTGATCACTGGATTCTCTGGTCCAGACTCAATTATTAACAGATCGCCGCCATATAGCTGGACTATTGCTGAATGCGGCGTAAACCTAGGCTCACTCAGGTGTTCTAAGGGGTTGGTGCTTTCGCGAGGACTTTCATGTGTTAGAACATAGGCGGATCCAACCGCAAGCACCCACCCACCCTCTTTTTTTGTCCTGATAGTTTATTATATGACCATTGAAAACCCTCGTGAAAACGGGTGAAAATTAACGGTGAACCCCTTTCTAAAAAATCTGTATCCGCCTCTGTAGAACGCACACATAAGCATATCCAGTCAGCTTTGTACAAAGGTCACGTGATCTGAGTAGATTACACACACATGCATGCATCTATTCATTGCTGGCTCGCGCTGGACAGACGACTTATGTTGTGTACACGAAGTAATGACGTCATATATTACGAAACATATATACACCCTAATCCGGAGGTCAAGCTCACAAATACCAAACACCTGATTAGGCCAGGCTGTGAACACGCAAGCCCGGTTTCAATCAATTTTATGGTATAAATTGTTTGTACCTGGATTGACAAATTACAAATTGTCCACATGTGTCCATTCACCGATGCTCCCTCTGTGTTCCCCGAGTCGGAACATAACCTAACGTTCTCTTTTCGGTTTTGTTTTTAACGCCGCACTATTCCAGCTACGAGGGTCGGTCAAAAAGTAATCGGCCTCACCGAGCAAATAATACAAATGCTGCTGTTTTTATGTTTTATTTTCCACATATTATCTGTCAACCTCAAGCAAATTGGTTTTTGCTATATTCCAGCCTCACGATCCCCATTTTGTTTGACTTTTATCTTGATACTTCCAAAAACGCAAAATCTGCTATAAATGCATCACAAACTTCAGGAAACAAAATATGCAAGAAACATTCTGTGTGTCTGAGATAGGTAGATGTCGGCTAGACTCAAATTTATATATTAAAGTGCATAAAAAAAAACAATTTGAAACTACAATCGTTTGTTAAAGTGACACCAGCTTTCATGGCGTAATCATAAGGACCTAACGTATGCTAATGCTTTCACTTTTTCATACATGATGCCACGGGTTCAAACTAAATACTGAATGGTCACACAAGTGTCAGCTCTCAATATATTGTAAACAGGGCCAGCTTGAATATCTGGACACAATGTTTTTTAAAGACTTAAATGGGTGTGTCCTAAAACAAAAAAAACCCCGTCTTAACATAAATCAAGCAATCCAATTTTTTTTAATCTTTGATTGTTGATAATGACGGAAAGTCATATTTTACATCATGATATTATCTGAGGGCATACCATTATCCAAGAGGTATCAAATGACAGATCGTTCTTCATTTTCTGTCATTGTTTTCGAAATATTATACCCCAATGTGTTATCATGACTAATATCTCGTTAACCACATTACCCACATATGTGGAATTTTGGATATGGCTTTGACAATGATTCCTTCACAATAAAATGAAAGCTTTTCAAACATTGGACATTGAGAATATAGTTAGGCCGACTACCGTTTGACTGACCCTCGTGTATGGCGGAGGTCTAAAAAGTACCGAATCTTGTCAAGAGAAAGCAGTAATTGACATCGTGAGCATCGATCTACGCAGTTGGATACGAGGACATTCACCAACCAAGTCAGGGATCCTGACCACCCGATCCCGTAAGTCGCCTCCTACAAGCATGGGTTGCTAAAGACTATTCTAATCTTCACGGTCACCCGACAAATACGTTACATCAACCAAAGTCACCCGAGGGGCGGTCGACAACGACTTTGTCTCACCGCCCACCTAAGTATATCATTATAAGGTATGTGTTATGCTTAAATGTTTTGGAGGGGCGGTGGGGTAGCCAAGTGGTTATTTAAAGCGTTCGCTCGTCACGCCGAAGACCCGGGTTCGATTCCCCACACGGGTACATTGTGTGAAGCCCATTTTTGTTGTCCCCCGCCGTGATATTGCTGGAATAATGCTAAAAGTGGCGTAAAACCCAACTCACTCACTTAAATGTTTTGGTTCGAATAGGTAAGATATTCTTTTATAGAAGACAATAGAAAAATAGATATGTTTCATTCAGAAAATGTCGTAAATGTCCCGAGAATGGCGCCATACATCAATAATTCGAGATACAAAATAACGGTAAGTATGTTGTAATGTAAGCGTTCTGAGTTTTGAACGGGAAACAAAAGAAACGCAGCCTGGTTCCTGGGGTCTGCTGCGAAGGTTGAAATCCAGGCTTAAAGGAAATGTACCTTACATATTAGCGGGGTGCATTGAACATATCAAAATCGGTCAGAGCCAACCAGAATCCGACTTTTCTGTGCGTAAAGATACGATGAAGGAAAAATTGTAACATTCCCACTGTCTGGAACATGCCCAGGTTTGGAAATAAAAGAAAATCAGGAAATACCTCATTTGTTTGTCAAACGTTCGTGATAAACTGACGTGGGACTTTATTTTATATGCGCAAAATTACGGTTACTTATAATCAATCAAAACTTTACGCATTCTTGATTTTGCGACTCATCTGTCCACATCTGTTGGCTAAACAGGACATAGAACCGTCAGGCATAAAGCAAGGAATTGAACCAGGCATTCGTCGTAGCAAGAAAAACCGTTAACAACTGTGCCACGTAACAGGCAACCTATGATGGGGGTTCGAATCTCGGTTCCCTCTGATCATGCTAAGTTTGTTAGCACCAAATACTGAAGTATTTTGTTCGTTTCACAAAATCGTTAAACATAAAGACCTGGGGGTCCTTTCACGAAGCAACCTTTACTAAGGTTAACCTTAATTCCCATTCTTTAACATTGCACTAAGGTTACCTTAGTGACTTACGATCACGTTAGTGCTTTGTGAAAGGAGGCCCTGGGCCCTTATTCTCGAAACGTTCGTAGACCTAAGAATTCTTAACTTTGATCGTAGCCAATGTGTTAAGAATGGGCTTAAGAAATTCGTAAGGCTACGAACGTTTCGGGAATAGCTAACAACCTTAGCGTTAAGACTACCTTAGGTCTATGTTAAGATATGGGAGTTACGGTCACCCTTGACCGCTTTGTACAATGGCACCCAGCATTACTTCGGGTTCCCCTCCCACACGACACTGGTATGTCGTATAAGTACTGAAAGTGTTCTAAATAACGTAGGGCGGTGGGGTAGCTAAGTGGTTACAGCGATCGATCGCCACGCCGAAGACCCCGGTTTGATTCCCCACATGGGGAATTAGGACCGCCTCTGTGGTGTAGTGGTTAGAGCGTCCGCCCGGAGAGCGGAAGGTCGCGGGTTCGATCCCCGACCGCGTCATACCAAAAGACGTTAAAATATGGTACTTGTTGGTCCCTGCCTGGCGCTCGGCGTTATTGGGTACAACAAGGACTGGTCGGCTCGGAGTCAGTATACTGTGTCTGAGTGGGGTATTCATGCTTAACTGCGGCATGGTATCTCAGTGAGCTAGCACTATAAAACCAGCTTAAGTCTGGGCTAGTACAAGCAGCTGCACATACACATACACACTCATGCACGTCGTCATATGAGCGAAATATTCTCAAGCACGACGTTAAACCCAATTTCACTTCACCTCACCTCACATGGGGAATTATATTATTTATTATAAGGTTTGTTCAGTATTCTACACCCCAACTTCAAAAATGCCACTCAAAGAAGTTATTTACACGCTGCCGTATACTTGTAGCTGGAAAATTATCAGACTCCGCCATGTAGCTGGAATATTGTTGACTCCGGCGTAAAACAACATACTCTTCAAAATCATATGGAAGATGAGACATTTGAAACCTGCAAAGCATGCTCAGTTTCAAATATTGAGCAACAATTGATTAATGTTTTAAAGGCCACATATGCAAGGATGCAACTGATCTGGGCCTCCTTTCACAAAGCACTAAGGTGATCGTAAGTCACTAAGGTACCCTAGTGCAATGTTAAAGAATGGGAGTTAAGGTTAACCTTAGTGAAGGTTGCTTCGTGAAGGGACCCCCTGATCAACTACTGATTGCACATAAACACACCTGCTCAATTACCAGACTGAGGATAGTCAGGATACCTATATCATTACAACAACCGACTCGGGGTAGCAGGCCACTGCCAAGTCGCAGTTGTGTTTTCATTTATTTGATAACCCAAAACACAAAAATACAACATTCCCACAAAAAAAACATGAACAAGACCAAAACACATGTACAAGATCAAAAAGACATGCACAATAAGATCAAAACGCATGCATAACAAGATCAAAACGCATGCATAACAAGATCAAAACGCATGCATAACGTACAAGATCAAAACACACGTACAAGATCAAAACACATGTACAAGATCAAAACACATGTACAACACGATGTATCCCAGATTCATCAAAACAAGATCAGTGTTTCATATATTACTGTAACAAGTTGAATGTGAATATTAAATGTTGCAAGACTTCTCAAACACACCGATCTCCAAATGGTTGTCGTACGGTCGACATAGATTTGGCCAGTTGTCACTGGGGCGGAGGGGGAGCGTAGTGGGTAAAGTATTCACTCGTCGCGCCGAAGACACGGGTTCGATTCCCCACATGGGCACAATGCGTGAAGCCCATTTCTGGCGTCCCCTGTCGTGATATTGCTGGAATAGTGTTAAAAACAGCGTAAAACTAAATTCACTCACTCACTCACTCATGCGTCACTGCCTATCTTGGTCCTCGTCGCAATGCTAAGTAGGTCCGATACTTTTAATATTGACCTGCGTTAGTCGTAACATTAAGATTGCTCTGAGGAACACAAGAGTTCGTAAAGTTACGCTTCTCGTAAGTCCATGTGTAAGTATCGTACCTCTACCAAAGTCGTAAGTTCATGCCAATGGTAAAGGGTTTACGACAGCCTCAGCGTTACGCTTGCTCTGCGTAACGGATCCCAGGATGGAATCGAACCCGGGTCTTCGGCGTGACGAGCAAACGATGTAACCACTGGATGATCCAGTTAATGATTAATTCCTTTCTTCATTTATCACCCAACGGTTTCCCGAATTTTGGTTACTGAATACTGAGTTAATTTATCACGGCTGTAGAGTTAGAAGCACGTGTAGAAACCGGTTTCCGAGATTCAAGATCCAGCGGTTTTGTGCACTTGGAGCTTCCGTACCAGGAGAGGATGTCGCTGTAGGTTTTCCTGTAGTCGTCCACGTTCCACAGTCGCTTACAGATGTCACACATCATATTGCCCATATTCATATAAATATGTCGTATAAACTTTTTGTCTTCCCATCGGACAATCTGTTGCCGCGAATATACTGCATCATAATATCGCTTCTTCTTCAAGATTTCTATATACGCTGTGTCATTCTTATCCAAGTATTGAATATATCTTCCTAACTCGGCGATGGATTTATAATCTGCTGTGTTAATATATGTTCCTTTGGGGACAACGTTGGAATAGTCCCCACCCCCTCGTACTATAGGCACAGTTTCGGTCCCATAAAACCGGAAGAACACATTACTTATGTATTCAGAGCAGAACACCTCCTCAAACGCTAGATAGAATTTATATTCTCGGCCGACCTTGATAAAACAGTCCAGGTCCTGATTACAGAGGGTCCGGTTTACACAAGGTCCGTATACATCGACCTTTACATATTTGCGAAGTTGTTGGAGATACTCTTCCAGGCGGCTCGGAGTCTTGCAACTCTGCTGAAAGATGACAACTGTTCTCTTCTTCCTCGAGACAACGGTTGTAAGGTTATATAAAGGGACCGCCTTTTTCTTGACAATGGTTCCATAAGATATTCGAATATCAGCATCTCTTGTGTAACCAATCGTCCAATTAAAAACTGATTTGTCACTTAAAGTTGATTCAAGCTTTCTGGCAATTTCGGGAACATGGGGCCGGTTTTCAAAAAATAGAAACACTTTTCCATGTAGACGTCTATCAATTTTGGGAAGTGGGTGTCTCTCTAGAAATGTGCTAGAAAACATTACAGCATGACTGTCTCGGAGATATGTTCCTCTCGTGGTGGAAGCGCAGCGAACATCACCGCAATTCAGGGGATAAATGTGTTGGTCACGGCGTGCGTAGCTGAGGTCGGGGGCGTACGCAAAAATGAGTTTAACTTTGTCACCGCGTTGGTCCCCTGAAGGATGGTATTCCTTGAAGGCTATCCTGGCGATATTGTAAGGTAAAGGCTTAACGGTTGGAGGAGACACCTCCACAGTGGGAACATCGTTGAGGGGTATGCTGTGGGAGGTATTGGTGTAAAAGTAACGACAGATGAAGATGGTGATGACCACACACAGGAACAGCTTCACCAACGTCTGGGTGGTACATCTGGAAACCAGAGGAAGAAATTTGGTTTTGTTTCATAATATGAGGTATTTGCCAGTGGCTGCATGATAAATATATACTCATACCAATTATGGTTGTCACCCCCTTCAATTTTTTTAATTGGAGAGGGGGTGTGGGGTGGGTGTGTGAGGTGTGTGTGGGGTTGGGGTGGGGAGGGGGGTGACAACCATTATTGGCATGAGTATATGTTTACAAATTGTGGAGAACGGTAACTGCATGATAACTGACTGACTGACTGAGTTTGGTTTCACGCCGCTTTTAGCAATATTCCAGCAACATCACGGCGGGGGACACCACATGGGCTTCACACAATGTACCCATGTGGGGATTCGAACCCGGGTCTTCGGCGTGACGAGCCAACGCTTTAACCACTAGGCTACCCCACCGCCCAGCTGCATGACAAATATATGTTTACAACTTGTGCAGAACGGTAGCTGGAAGATAAATATATGTTTACGAACTGCGCATAACGGTAGCTGTATGATAAATGTATGTTTATGAATGTATGGATACTGGATTGGATATTACCGATTTCTCTCATTCATGGACATTTCCACTTTGTTAAGTAAGTATAGACCTTGTTTGTCAAGATAAGATCAACGCCCTCCGTCTACTTTTCGATTTTACATCAACTATACATGACATAACAACAGTCTGACACTTTGTAAATACACTTACGTCAATCTTACGTATCTCTAACAAACAAAGGACGGTGGGGTTAAAGCGTTCGCTCGTCACGCCGAAGACCCAGGTTCGAATTCCCACATGGGTACAATGTGTGAAGCCCATTTCTGGCGTCCCCCGCCGTGATATTGCTGGAATATTGCTAAAAACGGCGTCAAACTAAACTCACTCATTCTATCAGATACATTCTACACTGCAGGAGCACAGGTAATCAAATTGCTTATAACGAGAGTGAGTGAGTTTAGTTTTACGCCGCACTCAGCAATATTACAGCTATATGGCGGCGGTCTGTAAATAATCGAGTCTGGACCAGACAATCCAGTAATGAACAGTACGAGCATCGATCTACGCAATTGGGATACAATGACATGTGTCAACCAAATCAGCGAGCCTGACCACCAGATCCCGTTAGTCGCCTCTTAAGACAAGCATAAGTTACTGAAGATCAATTCTAACCCGGATCTTCACGGGATGCTTGTAACGAACCCTAATATACTGTTCACAGTTACCTCCCTTAAGAGTGTCTGACAAAAATAGTGACTCAGTGAGTTTAGTTTTACGATGCTTTTAGCAATATTCCAGCAATATCACGAACTCGAGAAATGGGCGTCACACATTGCACCCATGGGGAGAATCGAGCCCGAGTCTTGGGCGTGGCGAGCGGACGCTTTAACCACGAGGCTACCCTACAGTATCGTCTGAACAAATATGCCAGATTGACTCTGATGATGAACTCCTAACAAGACGTTACAGAACATCCATTCTTTCAGAGCACGATAGTGTGATGACTCTTCTCAAAAATAGGTGTTCCTTAACTTATTTTGAGCAGTCTATTTTCGATTTATGCGTTACACAAAAGGAGGGGGGTGGGGTTGGGTGGGGTGAGGTATTTTAGTGTCGGCTGTATATGCAACTTTTCGGGTTTTCTGGGCTAGAGAAATCGTGCTATAACCTGAGTGCTGTCCTAATCGAAGTCAAACCCAACTAACTCACTTAGTCTGAAGTGGCCGCCATGCAGCTGGAATATGGCGGCGTAAAGCTAAACTCACTCACTAGTCCCAAGTGTCGGTATTTAGACCGGCCGATGTGGCGGTTACATTCTTACCTCATGTTGGGTGAAGTCTTTGTTCTTGTCTATGTTGTATAATACTGTGACGCTGTAGAACCTCTGAAACAAACAAGTCACAGATACACGTGTAATAAAACATGTTTATAGTTAATTCCGGTGACAGTACAATATTACTAAAGTAGAACTTAATGAAATAGATTATCAAAGATTATATTTACACAGAAGAAATAGTTCATTGAATATTTTATTTATTCAGAAGAATATGTAATTATTAGGGGTGTCGCGATACGCGAATGTATCGATGCATCGATACATTTTTACTGACGATACGATATGCGATACATGCTTGCGTGTATCGATTCCTTTTTTAAAACTTTATCGATTCAAATTTTTATGCTATATCCATCTCCGTCAAAGTCTTGATAGTAAAATTACACCAGACCGCTCCGATAAATAGATGTAGCTCGCTTTACTTAAAAAATAGGTTGGAAACTAACAGTTGTTGTGATTGGCTAGACTATTTTGATGGACCAACCGTACGTTGCCGGTAAGGTAATGCTATGAAAAGGCGCGAAAATTATGTATCGCGATACGTATCGTATCGTGACCTTAAAATCGTGATACGTATCGTATCGTGAGATTGGTGTATCGTGACACCCCTAGTATTATGATAACACATTTTTATTGACTATTATGAAGTTTGAAAGTCAATTTTTGGTTTAAACATTTTATTATTATTTATGAAAATGAATTGGGATTGGTGAAGTAGTACTGCTTATGTTAACACCGCTCCAATGCAACATAAAATATAAAATGAAATGAAAGTTGAGACGTCATCGATATTGACTATTGCATAAATATATCGGCGTTTGGGTCGCTAGATCCGAGCCTGAGGCAGCAATGAACGATTTGACAAAAACAAGAGCCATAATTAAGATCAATATAAATCTTGTTTTCGGTTTTTGTAATTAGGTTTTAAAATTCTTTGAGACTGCATGACTCTTTGGTATTTGGTAGGGCATTCCATAAATTTATTGTGTCCGGTAGAAAGGGTTTGGCATAAGGGGCATTTCGACTGTAAATTTCAGAATTATTTCAGAGTTATTTCTTAAACTATAGCTTGTAGTCTCGGAGACGGAGTAAATCTGAGTACTAGGTAAATTAATTTCTCTTTGATCACGAAGTTACCTACACAAAGTGTTTAATTATTAAAGACATTTACCTGAGTATGTTAATCAATTTATTTTATAAAGTTTCATTAAGTTACCTCCACAAGATTCAGTTACATAGCAAATCAGTAATTAGCTAGGGTGAATCCATTCCATCAGACAGGGGGAGTATGGTGTGTTTTCGTTGTTAATTACCTACTCCACTGTCTCATAACTGGGAGTCTCACAACTGGGAGTTCTCACAAATGGGAGTAGACCGTTTTCACACACATTCAGTCAATGTTGACATTTGCATCTTTAGTTTAGGTTGACGAACTCTAAACCTGACTCTCGTGTTGGGTCAAAGAATATAGATATCATCTCTGTAATTTTCATCATATACAAGCATATTCAGCCGGGGAAAAAACCGCTACAAACTGGGTGCGAACGTAAGGTTGACGAATCATAAATTGTTGACGTCTCATGCTCTGATTACAGATCAAAGACGAGAGTGCTTCGCTCCGGTGAATGCATGCTTGGATAAGACCTATTGCAACTACTAGTCTACTAGCCCGTCTGCTTCTCAATATTTTAATCTTACTAACCTAGCGGTAAGTGAAAACAGATACAAAACGCCCAAGTTTGTCATTGCACACAAACACTCCTCAAATGGCTCAATTAAAAACATGCATGTGTGTACCTTGTCCGTGATCACGGGTAGCCTCCATGTTCCTGTGATGGGGTAGTGTTTGAAGCAGATGCACCCTTTCACTGTAATATACTACCGTCCAATATGCATAATATCGCATGCGTGACCATCATGTGTTAATCACACGAATACCCAGCCACATGCCACAAACGAGCAGACGAACAGCTGAAGCCATGTTGATTGTCGACTGTAATAGCAAGGTAGACCTCACCTTAACCAGTTGACGAGACGTCGATACCATTCACGCCCTCTGAGGCGGTTGACGACGATCGTCTGCTTGTAACATTGGCAGACGTCTGTTCAAGAAGTTTCAGGAAGACCGAGTTTAGACCGGAAAGGCCAGTTTCCAAGCTGTCCTTCAAGTCATAATAAGTCTGATGTCTAACAAAGTCGCCATGATGCATGAGCCCCCGCTTTGGTTCCGGGTGGGTTATCAATTTACAAAACCTCGTTATACCGCAAACCGAAAACGACCGCTAAACCTATTTGCAATTTTAATTTTGGTATATCAATTTCATATACCAGTACGCTTGGTCGGCTCAAGTATATAACTCGACATTGGGAAATGACACGTAGTCTTTATTCATGTGCGTTATAGCGAGGTGTTGATGTGGTCCACACCCAAGCCTGCTCACAAACAAATTGCACGGAGACACCCAGCGCAGGCAAGATGGTCCGTACAAGTTCACGATCCACCCAAATTCAAACAAAAGCATATATCGCGATGTAAACTTTATGCTATCATAAACTGGATCACGCATTAGCGCCATTCAAGGGCGTGTCACCCCTATAGGGCTACACGGTATTATCGGTATATCTCAATACGTTATTTAAACGATACGTGTTGCAATATTTTTTCTGAGAACCGATATTTTGGGTAAAGAACATATATGAAGTTTTTGTGATTATCTTTATGGTTTCAATTATAACCTACACATTCTTTCATTCACAACACATGTTTTCCTTCGTTATTCACTGACACAAAACTGCATACCGTAATGCTATAAATCATATAAAACGGAAAATAGTATCTTTGACTATGAAACCTAACATAGTGTTCATCACATGGTGGTGTTCATCACATAATGTTCATCAAACAGTGGCCATCACATAGCGTTCATCAAACAGTGTTCATCACATAGAGTTCATCACATAGTGTTCATCACATGGTGTTCATCAGTGTTCATCACATAGAGTTCATCAAAAAGTGTCCATCACATAGCGTTCATCACATAGTGTTCATCAGTGTTCATCACATAGTGTTCATCAGTGTTCATCACATAGTGTTCATCAGTGTTCATCACATACTGTTCATCAGTGTTCATCACATACTGTTCATCAGTGTTCATCACATAGTGTTCAACAGTGGTTATATCACATCAGTGTTCATCACATAGTGTTCATCAGTGTTCATCACATAGTGTTCATCAGTGTTCATCACATAGTGTTCATCAGTGTTCATCACATAGTGTTCATCAGTGTTCATCACATAGTGTTCATCAGTGTTCATCACATAGTGTTCATCAGTGTTCATCACATAGTGTTCATCAGTGTTCATCACATAGTGTTCATCAGTGTTCATCACATAGTGTTCATCAGTGTTCATCACATACTGTTCATCAGTGTTCATCACATAGTGTTCAACAGTGTTCATACACATAGTGTTCATCAGTGTTCATCACATAGTGTTCATCAGTGTTCATCACATAGTGTTCATCAGTGTTCATCACATACTGTTCATCAGCGTTCATCACATAGTGTTCATCAGTGTTCATCACATAGAGTTCATAGTGTTCATCACATAGTGTTCATCAGTGTTCATCACATAGTGTTCATCAGTGTTCATCATATATAGTGTTCATCACATACTGTTCATCAGTGTTCATCACATAGTGTTCATCATATAGTGTCCATCAGTGTTCATCACATAGTGTTCTTCAGTGTTCATCACATACTGTTCATCAGTGCTCATCACATAGTGTTCATCACATAGTGTTCATCACAAAGTGTTCATCAGTCTTCGTCATACTGTTCATCAGTGTTCATCACATAGTGTTCATCACATGGTGTTCATCAGTGTTCATTACATACTGTTCATCACATAGTGTTCATCACATACTGTTCATCACATAATGTTCATCCCTGTTCATCACATAATGTTCATCAGTGTTCATAACATAGGGGTCCATCACATAGTGTTCATCAGTGTTCATCACATAATGTTCATACTATAGTGTTCATCAGTGTTCATCACAAAGTGTTCATCAGTGTTCATCATATAGTGTTCATCAGTGTTCATCAAACAGTGTTCATCACATTGAGTTCATCACATTGTTCATCAACAGTCTTCACCACATAGTGTTCATCAAATAGTGTTCATCACATAGTGTTCATCACATAGTCATAACACTATCTCTGAGTGAGATATTCATATTAACTGTTGCATGGTTAGCGATGTAAACACAGGCACAAGTCCGGACTAGTAAACACAAGTGTTCAGTGTGCTGGCGATGGAAACACAGGCACAAGTCAGGACTAGTAAACACACGTGCACACGTGTTTAGTTGGCTGGCGTTGTAAACACAGGCACAAGTCAGGACTAGTAGACACACGTGCACACGTGTTCATAGGGCTGGCGATGTAAACACAGGCACAAGTAAGGACTAGTAGACACACGTGCACACGTGTTCAGTGGGCTGGCGATGTAAACACAGGCACAAGTCAGGACTAGTAAACACACGTGCATACGTGTTCAGTGGGCTGGCGATGTAAACACAGGCACAAGTCAGGACTAGTAAACATACGTGCATACGTGTCCAGTGGGCTTGCGATGTAAACACTGGCACAAGTCAGGACTAGTAGACACACGTGCACACGTGTTCATAGGGCTTGCGATGTAAACATAGGCACAAGTCAGGACTAGTAAACACACGTGCACACGTGTTTAGTTGGCTTGCGTTGTAAACACTGGCACAAGTCAGGACTAGTAAACACATGTGTACGCGTGTTCAGTGGGCTGGCGATGTAAACACAGGCACAAGTCAGGACTAGTAAACATACGTGCATACGTGTCCAGTGGGCTTGCGATGTAAACACTGGCACAAGTCAGGACTAGTAGACACACGTGCACACGTGTTCATAGGGCTTGCGATGTAAACACAGGCACAAGTCAGGACTAGTAAGCACACGTGCACGCGTGTTCAGTGGGCTGGCGATGTAAACACAGGCACAAGTCAGGACTAGTAAACACACGTGCATACGTGTCCAGTGGGCTTGCGATGTAAACACTGGCACAAGTCAGGACTAGTAGACACACGTGCACACGTGTTCATAGGGCTTGCGATGTAAACATAGGCACAAGTCAGGACTAGTAAACACACGTGTTTAGTTGGCTTGCGTTGTATACACTTGCACAAGTCAGGACTAGTAGACACACGTGCACGCGTGTTCAGTGGGCTGGCGATGTAAACACAGGCACAAGTCAGGACTAGTAAGCACACGTGCACGCGTGTTCAGTGGGCTGGCGATGCAAACATAGGCACAAGTCAGACCAGTAAACACACGTGCATACGTGTTCAGTGGGCTGGCGATGCAAACATAGGCACAAGTCAGGACTAGTAAACACACGTGCATACGTGTTCAGTGGGCTGGCGATGCAAACACAGGCACAAGTCAGGACTAGTAAACACACGTGCATACGTGTTCAGTGGGCTGGCGATGCAAACACAGGCACAAGTCAATACTAGTAAACACACGTGCACACGTGTTCAGTGGGCTTGCGTTGTAAACACAGGCACACGCCAGAAATGGGTTTCACACAATGTACCCACGTGGGGAATCGAAACCGGACCTTAGCTGTGACGAGCTTACGCTTTAACCACCGCCCTTACACTGAGAGCAAATCTACTGAGATCAAAGGCTTCAACCGTGGTATTTCGTATAGATTGAATTTGTACCTGTGAAGATCCAGGTTAGAATTGCTTTTCAGTAACCCATACTTGTCTTAAGAGGCGACTAACGGGATCGGGTTGTCAGGCTCGCTGACTTGGTTGACACATGTCATCGGTTCCCAATTGCGTAGATCGATAGTCATGCTGTTGATCACTGGATTGTCTGGTTCAGACTCGATTATTAACAGGCCGCCGCCATATGGCTGGGATATTGCTGAGAAACTAAACTCCCTTACGCATTGAATTTGTCCTGTTATAAGCAAGGGTTGTTTTATTTCGATGTTCAACTCGGCGTTAATTATCTGGATCACATTAGGCAAACACGACAATGACAGTACTGGTCAAGCGACGTTGACCCCAACAAACTCACTCACTCACTGTCACTCCCTCTTCGACTCTCGTTGGATCCACCCTGCAGAACAGTTTAAAAACTTGCTTTCGAAAAGGAGAAAAGGATCCAGTAAAAATAAATACGGTCCACACAGAATATAGATGTCTTGAGATGTCGGCAACCATCCACGAGCTGTCCGACACTGGCGGCGTCGAGCTGTCGGCCAAAGAATTCAACATGGCGGCTACAACTGACGGAAGGTAGCAGACGACAAATGAACAGAGAACCCAAACTGCCATCCGAGGGAACTTGAACGGTAGCTCCGTTTCAATAGGTGCGACAGCGCAATGTCTCCTAATGAATTCTCTACCTATTGAAACATAACAACCGAAAATTACCACCGCAGGAATAACAATCACAACCAACACGAGAACAGGAACAGTGTGGGTGTTAGCAAACACGGGAGAACATCCAAACGACATTTCATCAAATCTCTGGATCGACTGAAAAAACATGAGAAGTAGAGCTCCGCCGGAGAGCAAGAGGGACAGAACCACAGCTCCAATAATCCAGCACGCAGACGTCATTTTTGTATATAGTCGAGGTCTGCACAGGAACAGGTAGCGGTCCAGCACGCACAGCACCCCCTGGTAGACGTTCTGCGAATGGAGCGTGAGCCGCACGAGCTTCATGGTCGTCACGAAGTGATCACTGCAAGAAAAACGTGGGACGACACTGTAGAGGACCTCGTACAAGATGATGGTCAACCCTGATACCAGATTCGTGACGGCGATACAGGTCAAGCAGCGAACGGTTGGTGCGGATTCCTTGGTCTTCGTGTTGATGAAGACTATGAAGCTGTTAGCGATGACGATGGCGATGGAGATGATGATGTATACGGCTCCTACGAGTGGGTTGACCTCTCTTTCGTGAGGTATTGACGTCCATGGGGATGGATTTATATGTGGGGGATTCATCTTCAAAAGCAGGTCCTCGCACTGAGGGGATTCATCTTCAGAAGCAGGTCAGTCAGAGGATTCCACCAGGATGTCAGAGGATTCCACCAGGATGTCCACCAGGATGTCAGAGGATTCCACCAGGATGTCAGAGGATTCCACCAGGATGTCAGTCAGAGGA